AGTGGGATGGAAATACTATCAGGATGGAAACCATCATCCTTTCCTCCTCAAATTACTTTGGAAACTTTAAGTTGGAAACTTGTCCTCTGGTTCAGCTTACTAATATGAATTCCTTAAATATTTTAATTCTAGTTCCTTCATGCCCTAAATAACCTTTTTTTCCCCTTTAATACTCCCTTAGTTCCAGAAGTTATTCTTTATCGTCTGCTATCTTTAAAAACTGGGATTTTCCCTCCTTTATATAAACCTTCAGCTTCTTATTTATTTTCCACTGAACCTAAATGCCTCATTCCTTCTTTTATTAATAGTTTATAAGAGGAATGTAAAATAAAGTACCAAAGTTTTTATGTGCTGGTGAACATTCTCCATCATCCCAGTCATAGTCATTAAAATCCAGTCCAGTGGTTTGTTTTTTAATGTTTTTGGAATGTTTTTGTAGTTTGTGCTGTTAAACAGGGAGTGGTGGCCTAGTGGTTAGGGCATAGAGCTTGAAATCCTGAGGTTGTGAGTTCAAAACCCACTCCCACAGCCTGCCACTCTGGCTCTCTGAGCAAGACCCTTAAAGGAATAGTACACCCAAAACATGATTAGCCTTCATTTTCTACTCACCCCCATGCTGAACAACACTCTGGAGTACTTTTTTGATATCTCAAATGCATCTGGAGATCTGGGAGGCTTCTTGCTGTCTGCTGACATTCAAATAATGGAGGTCTATGGCGCCCAAGGCAGAAAGGTCCATAAAAGTCCACAAAAAACGTGTCAATATTCCTCCATACTGCTCGTCCAATGTATTCCAAGTGTCCTGAGTGGGTAGCGTCCATAATTTACTCGAAACAAAGTCATTTAGAATGTTTTTAGAGCATAAACAGTAGTGTATAGGAATTCCTAAAAGCGCGTTCACGAGTCTACGGAAACCGCGGCAGACCAAACCAGATGAAAGTGCGCATTCAGCGTCTGCTCTGCCGATAATGCAAGCGTAGAAGAAGAAATGTGCTGTTTACCTGTGCAAAGAAAGAAACATCGAAAGAAAAATGTCTGAGGACTTCAGTGTTGAGGAAGAGCATGAGTTCTTTGCCGAGCTGAATGCGCACTTTCATCTGGTTTGGTCTGCCGCGGTTTCCGTAGACTCGTGAACGCGCTTTTAGGAAATCCTATACACTACTGTTTATGCTCTAAAAACATTCTAAATGACTTCGTTTCGAGTAAATTATGGATGCTACCCACTCAGGACACTTGGAATACATTGGACGAGCAGTATGGAGGAATATTGACACGTTTTTTGTGGACTTTTATGGACCTTTCTGCCTCGGGCGCCATAGACCTCCATTATTTGAATGTCAGCAGACAGCAAGAAGCCTCCCAGATCTCCAGATGCATTTGAGATATCAAAAAAGTACTCCAGAGTGTTGTTCAGCATGGGGATGAGTAGCAAATGAAGGCTAATCATGTTTTGGGTGTACTATTCCTTTAACGCCCGACGATGGCAGCCCACTGCTGGGTTAAATGCAGAGGTAAATTTCTCTAATGTGAGATCAAAAAGGTTAATTAAATCAATTAAAATTAAATCCTTTAGTGTATTTTAGTAAGATTTTTCTGTGATAGACCAACACTAAGAAGCACAGTTTTTAAGTGTACAAAAAGCGGAATAAGGGGAATAAGGAAGCAGTCTGGTTCAGTAAGAATACTTTGAAACATGGCGGTTAGAACTGTTCAGAGTCCTTTTTACAGAATTGAAAGGGAAGCTGGTTGGAATTAGAAGGAGGATAAATTAAGCTCTTCTTTCATTGTGACTGAACTTGAAATATTTTGCTAAGATTTACCAAAATTTCCAGCTCATGATGTGCAAAAAGGTGTGCAGATACAAATACAACACTTTTCAAATTATTTGTAGGAAAAAATATTTTATCTATCATTTCCACATTATCCTTTAGTCTGTTTTTTCTGGTACATAAAAATCCAAAAACTTTAATCTGAAAAAATGGAAACGATTTATTCTTTCATTGTTCTATCAATCTCCTGTTTCAGCAATAGAGAGACAAATACAAACTGTGAGAGTTTTTCACTTTTTCTTGTAGTAGCAAGTAGAAGAAAGACACAGCAACACAACAGCAGGGAAGGTATTTTGGCTGAAAGAGGAAAATCAAAAGCTGTGTCAAACCAAAATATCTCAGATTTTCTTTCATCCTTTGCCAACGGATCCTCAAAGCTATCATTGCTTAAGAGAGTGTAAAGCAATGATATATCGTGTCATTCTCATATCATTGCTGGATCGCTACAGATTTATGCACCTAGAAAATAAAACAAAAAACAGTTGTGGTTTTAAAACACCAAATCCTGACCAGTTGTTTTTGGACAGGCGGAGAGAAGCAGGTTTTGTCCAGAAGATGCATCGAGAACACTGCAAAAAATCTAAATGTAGACTAGTCAATTTTTCTTAAAATAAGCGCATTTGTTCTTGAATTGAGGAAGTAAAAGAGACATTCTGCCAATGGAACGAGACAATTTACCCTTAAAATAAGAAAACACAATTACATCGTCTTATTTCAAGTGCATATTATCTAATTATCTTATTTTAAGAGTAAAATTACTCATTCCATTGGCAAACTCTCATTTACCTTCTCAAATTAAGGGTGAATACACTTAATTTAGGAATTTTTTACTCATTTCTAGATCATTTTTGCAGTGAAGAATTAGAGAGAACCCAAAGACAGACAAAACCACATCATGTTTTTCTCCTGGCTGTCAGATTCTAGCCTTATCTAGAGGAGATTGAAAGAACAAGAGCTGAAACAATTAAAATGATTCAGTTTAACTGATTATTGAAATAATCGTCAACTAAATCAGTAATCAATGAATCGTTAACTGAAGTATAGAGACCTTAAAACATGCCTTTAGCTGACAGAGCGACTCCCTTAAAGCAGTACACTGGAAAAACGATCTAGAAATAAGTAAAAATTTCGTAAATGAAGTGTATTTACCCTTAATTTGAGTAGGTAAATGAGGTAGTTTGCCCATGGAATGAGCATTTTTACTCTTGAAATAAGATAATTTAATAACATGCACTTGAAATAAGACAATCCAATTGAGTTTTCTTATTCTAAATGTAAATTGTCTTGTTCAATTGGCAACATTTCACATTTACCTCCTTAATTCAAGAAGAAATGCACTTATTTTAAGAAAAAATTACTTATCTAGATATCAATTTTTTCCAGTGTAATTATATCAAAATTGTAAAAAAAATAAATAAACATTTTGCATTTAAGTAAAAAAGAAAAAAACTGTCAATATGCAATATCTATTTCACAGGTCTCCCTAAAAAGTGGATCAGACAGCTGCAGCTGATCCAGAACGCTGCTGCCTGTGTCCTCACTAAGACTAAGAAAGTAGAGCACATCACCCCAGTTCTAAAGTCCTTCCACTGGCTCCCTGTATCTCAGAGAATAGACTTTAAAATACTTCTGTTAGTCTATAAATCTCTGAATGGCTTAGCAGCTAAATATATCACAGACTTGCTATCAGTGTATCAACCTTCCAGACTAGGGATGCACGATATAATCGGCCCCCTATCGGTATCGGCCTTAAAACTGAATATCTGACATCGGCCACCCCACCGATATTTAACCCGATATTTGATCAGCTTCTGAGTTTCTAAAGTCTAAAAAAAAAAAAATACTACTTCTTCTTCTTCCTCAAAAACTTCTTTTTTACAGACTTAAAAACTTCTAAAGACGAGGGAAAAAATATTGATACATTAAAATATCACAATATCTTCATATGCTGATATATTGCCATTTAAAAACACCATATCAATCTCTTTTACTAATGAAATATTGCTATATGTCATCGTTATGCTACGAAATCCCCCGAAAATTCACGAAATTTTGCCATATTTTTATATGTTGATATATTGACGCGGTATCGATCTATTTTACTAACAAAATCTCACAAGAATTTGCAAAATATCACGAGAGTTTGTAACAGAACAATGAAATTTCACGAGATTTTGAAAGTAAAATAGATCGATACCGCGTTTTTAAAAATCAATTTGACATCAGCATGTGAAAAATATATTTGAGTATATTATTTTTCAAAGTGTCAGAAATGGATAACAAAACTGCTATTTTCAATGACTACTTATTTTTGTCCAGCTTTAACATCAGTATCGATATCGGTTATTGGCTACATGAGTTTTAAAATATCGGCATATCGGATATCGGCCAAAATCCCAATATCGTGCATCCCTACTCCAGACCACTCAGGTCTTCTGGCTCCAGCCGGCTCTGCATACCTAGAACCAGAACTAAACATGGAGAAGCAGCATTTAGTTCCTATGCTCCACTTATCTGGAACAAACTTCAAGAAAACTGTAAAAGTGCGGAAAGCCTGAGTTCCTTTAAATTGACTGTTCTACTTAAACAGTTCAACTAAAACATATTTTCTTTAGTCCAACTGTTTTTAATATTCTTTTTTGTTTCTGCATTTTTTATTTTATTTAATTTATTTATTTTTTTCCTACTTGTTTTGATTCTGTTTTATCTTCCTGTATTTTAATCATGTAAAGCACTTTGCATTGTCTTTGTACTGAATTGTGCTATACATATAAATTTGCCTTGCCTTGCCTATCCAGACCTCTTCAAGTGGAAACATTATAATTTCACCAGGTTTAATTTCATAAAAAAATCTTTAAGGAACCCTTGGCTATGCCTTTATTAATCGATCACTTGAAAAACTAATCAACAGATTAATCGATTTGCAAAGAAATTGTTTGTTGCAGCCCTACTGAGATGGTGTTGGACGATTGGGGGGGTAATCTAGGTAGAAGCAGAGTCCACACAGGAATGTCAGGATTCCCACTTTGCATCAAATCAACACCTCTACCAAGCGTCCCAAAATGTAGCTCTAAAAACCATCTGTTTTTCGTTCTATTTATTGTTTTTCCTTTACGTTTTATTCTACCAGAAGTGTAATCGGACAAATCTGTGTCTGTCTTCTCTCTCCAGTTAAGGTGGAAGCCACCAGCCCCCATTCCCCGCTGGCTCTATCTGCACCCCACATGTATTACACCTGTCCAGAGGGGGTGACTGCCAAACTAGTGTGTAACCAAAAGCATGCCAAGGTGTATGACGATAACCACGTAAAGGAGCGCTGGCTCTTCACGGCCCACACTGACCAGCACTGCAAAGGCAAGCTAGGCCCGAGGAATCTGTCTCTCCCTCTTAAGAGCCACGTCTTGCCTCAGGGGTTGGAGATGGGTCATACGAATGATAAAATGTGGGTGACTCTCCATAACGTGACCTATGCCGACCAGGGACGCTACTGCTGCATGGCGCTGGAGTTTAAGAAAGATCACGACCATCTGTCGGTCCTGCAGAATTCCCACAGCCACATTATCCTTCATGTTACACCAAGTAAGTAAAGCAAACAGCTTTATGGAAGATTTTGATTTGAAGTGGTACAAGAGTCGGACGTGGAACCAAATCATGTGGTACCTCGTAACAGGCTGGGTGCACAAGTACGATATATTATAAACATGAACATCTTTCATTGTTCTAGGGAGGGAAGGAGCTACCAACTGCACCTTCTGGGATCCCACACCTCCTCCAGGTATGAAAGTCAACACAGACATTGAAAAGCAGACTGAGTGTCGTTTATTTTTTTTTTCTAATTCTTCCTTTGTTTCGTTTGGCAGCATCGGTGCCCGTGGCCTTGGCATTAGCCGCCTGCATTTTGGCTCTGCTCTCTCTGCCTCTTATTCTGGTCCTGGTCTACAAACAGCGGGAGAACTCCCGCTCAAACAGGCGTATGTATTACAGACAGATAATTTTACTATCAGAAATAGACAACTTGAGTATAAAATGTAGTTTTATTAAATTATGTTTCTAAAAAAGTAAAAAAAAAAAATCCACTGGACTTAGTTTCCAAGTTTGAAGATGATTTGCTTCCCATCCAGGAAGTTTTTTTAATTCAAAATGTTAGAAATAGCCCTGAGTTTGAGGCTACGTACAGAGCCCAACATATAAGCCCCATTTACACTACCCTTGAAAAACCGATCCATGCCGAGACCGGTCTGACGACCGTTTACACATCACGCTATCTCGGTTCCTCGACTCCTCGCCTCCTAGTGACCATCTGCGGTATTACTGCCAGTATTGAAGGAGGAAATTAAGCAGTTGGTGGCGGTAAAGCACCAAAAGTTGTTTGCCATCCGCCATAAAATACAAGAAGAAGAAGACGAAAAAGGAGTGAATCAAGCAAATCAAAATGGCGGCGCCCTTCACATTCAGAAAGTGATGCTTGATTATTATTGCTGTACTTCTGTGTTATTTAAAATGCCATTATTTAAAATGTCGCGTGGAGAAGATTTTCATTGTTGTTTATAGTTGAAGAAGAAGTTGTTCTTCTTCTGTTTCCGGAGGGGCGTTACCGCCAACTACTGGAATGGAGTGGGAATCGGGATGTGCAGCCAGACGGAGATGACGCGTTCTGCTCATGCGCTCTTGTTATCAGAGAACCGAGCCAGGGAAAAACCCAGCCGAGCCCACTGGTCTGCAGTTAGCTCGGTTCGGTTGTGTCTAGCTCGGTTCGGTTCAGTTTGCTTTCCATTTACGCATGATAAGTTATCTCAGTTACTGAGCTCGGACCGGCCTCGGCACGGTTTTTCAAGGGTAGTGTAACTGGGGTAAATGTCTTGAACTCAAGGCTTCAGGAAGCTTCCTGGATGGGAAGCGAAAACGTTTTAAAACTTGGAAGCCTGCTCCATTGTGAAAATGCGTTGCCCCTGAAGGCGGCAACCAGCGTGACAGGCCCCTACCTCTCTATGGGTTCTTCATCGACTTTTTTAGGCTCAAGCCACTGAATCTCCACTAGATTTCATTCCAGGCTCTGACTTGACGAGACCAAAATGTTTTGTAGATGAGAATTTATAGAGATACCTAAAAAAATCACGACCAGACATTCTCCATGTTTTATTTTCTGCCAGTGAACAGAAATTTCTGTTGTCTTTATTATGGAGACATCAAACAACCTCTCCATAGATGCATGGCCCAACACAGAAGAGCGCCCTCCTCTGGACAGGACTCTGCGGTACATCTACACCTTATGGAAAAAAAGGACATTGTTTTGAGGACCAAAATGTTAAAATTTTGGATAAAGAAAATAGGTGGCGTGAAGGAAGCCATCTATGATAAGAATCAAAAACCAACCTTAAACAGAGGGGATGGAGTCAGATTTAGGCTTTCAAAAACCTACAATGCAGCAATTGAGTTGATCCCTTCCTGCTATCATCCCAACCCCAACCCCTTACCGGAGAATAGAAGACCTCGCCTATTCAGCCAGGCCAACGATTACCTTTAACGACCCCCCTTTCAGAGACATAGACAGGTATTGGGCATTGCAGGCTAACAAAAGAAGCAAAAAGACCCCCATTCCAAAGGTTTGTCCGTTTCATTTTGCATGTTCTCTAAGCAAAAACAAGGCTTTGTTAGGCTCTGTATAAAGCCTCGAACTCAACGCTATTTCTGACATTTTCAACTGAAAAAGCTTCCTGGATGGGAAGAGACACGTCTTCAAACTTGGAAACAAAGTCCAATGGATATTTTTTTAACTTTTATGGAACAAGTGCATGTCTAAATCATCTACTTTGCCTTGGAGCAGTTCTACAATAGATAATGGCATCTTTTGTCAAAGCAAAGCAGCCTTGGACCGTCATACTAAGCGCTCTGTAGTGATGTTCTTCTCAAATGCTGTTAGTTTTAGTCCAGATGTAACATGGTGTACTTTTCCCAAAAAGTTCAATTTTTTCCCCATCAGTCCAAAGGATATTTTTATTAAGATGTTTTTGGTAAATGTTGACAGAACGTTTTGGTTCTTTTGAGTCAGCAGTGGTTTAGGCCTTGGGTTCCTCCCTGAGGCTACTTTCCCCACTCTCTCTCTCTCTTTATTGTCAAATTATGAATCCGGACCCTTAACTGAGGTAAAAGAGGCCTGCAGAGCTTTAGATGTTGCGTAATTATGGTCAGCTGACCACGCCTTGGAATGGTCACCGTCTATGAATAATGTCTTACTGCGGTTCGATGGGATCCTGAAGTCTTAGTGTGTAACCCCTTTGAGAGGGAAAAATGTCAAAAGACCTTGTTTCTCATCTGTTTTTGTGTTTCCTGTATGTTCATGGATCGTTTTTTATGAAGTGAGGTGTGATGTGTTGCATATTTTTCAGAACAGGGGTCCACAGACTTTTTCATGTTGCAGCGTTAGCTTCTGGCCCCTTTAGCAAAAGAACAGGCAATGCTACAAAATATGAAGAAAACAAAAATTTGAAAATCTTTCTTACTTTTATCCTTATCCATTAATAAGAATTGTTTAACAACAAAAAATACCTTTATCTTACATAATTAGACAGAATATCTAAGTTCAGTTTTAAGTCCTCAGTTTTAATTCTTGAGAATGAAGTCGTAATATTATGAGAATAAAGTCATAAAATTAGGAGAATAAAGTCGCAATGAGAATAGTTATAAAATTATAAGGAGAAAGCCGTAAAATTACTAAAATAAAGTCGTAACATTTTGAGGATAATGTCATAAAATTACGAGGATAAAGTGTTGTAATGTTACTTTATTCTCGAAATAAAAAACAAATAAAAAATCTCTACCCTGGCGCTAATGCTCGTAACATTACGAAAATTATCTTGGACAACTTTAACTGACACAGAGTGTATACAAAACGAAATTTCGTTTAGTACTGCTTTCCAGACAGTAAATAAACATTTCCATTCCATAAAATGCAGCAGTGTTCAAATTTAATAAAGTCGTAACTCTACGAGAATAAAGTCATAAAGCTATGAGGATAAAGTGTCGTAATGTTACTTTATTCTCGAAATAAAAAACAAATAAAAAATCTCTACCCTGGCGCTAAAGCTCCGTCGTGGAAAATGTCTGACGGTCGTAATAGGAAAAAGTGTCTACAAAGTGAACGAGGAGAAAAGAAAGGCCTCAGAAGAGGCAGATATATCCCAGAATGCTTTGCGCGGAGAGTTCTCTGCACAAAGCATTATGGGATTTGCTGTCACAGCGGCCTGCTGTCGTCATAGGCTATCGCTTCCCGACAGCAGCGACTAATAACAAAGATGGCGCAGGCACCGCGTGGTGGTGGAGGAGGAGTAACGTGACCAACGGAGCAAAAAGTAGTGATCATCTGTCCAAATGGTCAGTTAACTGAGCTGTGGACACAGTAAGCTTGTACACTGGAAAAACGATCTAGAAATAAGCGGAACATTTTTTAAATCAGGTGTATTTGCCCTTAATTTGAATAGGTAAATGAGATGATTTGCCAATGGAATCAGTATTTTTACTCTTACAATAAGATAATTAGATAATATGCACGTGAAATAAAAATAAGCAACCGAGTTTTCTTATTTTAACTGCAAATTGTCTTGTTCCATTGGCAAGATGTCTCTTTTAGCTACTCAATCAACAACAAATGCACTTATTTTAACAAAAACTGACTTATCTAGATTTCGATTTTTTTCCATACGAGTTATGAGATCAGCACATTTTAAACTGGGCGTGCACCAGGAGAAATGGGCTTGTATGCCTCTTGCATGCGTATTTTTTTTTTTTTACCTGGCGGGTCTTTTAAAAAATCCTCCACAACACCTTTCATCTGTTATAGTGTGATGAGCTATATTTTTAAATCTCTTTAGAAAATATCCATGTTATAATAATTTTAAGTATTTCTTCAGTTCTAAGTGTGAGTAATAAGGTATTAATGTGAATGATGGAATTGATCCAGAATTTGGGCCTTATTCTGGTTACTTCATGATTCACCAACAGAGGCGGTTATATTTGTCAAGTTGGTTTTTATTGCATTTTTATCTTCTTTATAAATAAAATTGCTTAAAACATTTTGCTCCAACTCAAATAAAACCTAATATTAAAACTTGATTGGTTATTTCAAACAGTGTAACAAAAAAGTCAAAGCTGAAGAAATGTGTCCAACACTTCTTCATAGCAGGGACTCATTTCCATCTCCTAGCTCTGCTTTAGATTTTCATCTTTTATGCTTCGCTTCCCAAAGTCACACATGTTTCCTGTAAGTGTTTGGGATTAACTGTAGTTCACACAGTAGGAAGCACATTCTCATTCCACTGGGTTTCAGTTCAGTCACAATGGCTCATTTCCTGCTTCCTCTCTTCCAGGTGGACAAGAGCTGGTGAGGATGGACAGGTATGTTTTCCCACAGTCAGCTGATCACACAGAGCAGCGGCTAAACAAATCCTGGCCATGTTCCCACTCATCCACTCATTCCTTCACCATTTTGGTCCTTTCATGCTTGCGTCTTTTAGGTTTCCTACACAATTCAGTGTATTTATTTATTTATAGAGCTGCAACTAATGATTATTAATCTGTTAATATTTTTTTGGTTTAATCGATTAAGAATCGGATAGTCAAAGGTTCCTTAAAGAATATTATTCAATTCAATTCAGTTTATTTCTATAGCGTCAATTCACAACACAAGTCATCTCAAGGCACTTTACAGTTCACCAGATCATCCAGTCAGATTGATTCAAAGTTTTCTATCTAAGGAAAACCCGTTGATTGCATCGACTCATTGACTTAAATACAATCCCTCACACTAAGCATGCTTGTAGCGATGGTGGAGAGGAAAAACTCCCTTTTAACAGGAAGAAACCTCCAGCAGAACCAGGCAATTCTATTCATGAAATTAAAACAGATGAAACTAAAACTTTTCCACTGGAGGAGTTCTGGATAGACCATATTGACTGACAAAAAGGTTTTTTTTATATTAAATGCAAAATTTGTATGTGTGTTTTATTAAAATTTTGATACAATTACAGCTCTAAGTTGGTCGTTCTGTCAGCTAAATGGATGTTTTGCAGTCTCTATACTCCAGATAACGATTAATTGATAAAAAATTAGTGGACGGTTATTTCAATAATCAATTAAATACATATGCGATTTGATTAATTGTTTCAACCCTAGTTATATAGCACCAATTCACGACACATAATCTCAAAGCACTTTATAGAGACGGTTTAACCAGATCATCCAGTCAGATTGGTTCAAAGTTTTCTATCTAAGGAAAACCAGCTGATTGCATCGACTCATTTTGGCACAACTCTTGTACTTATACGCTAAAAAAAATTTTTTTTCTCTGACCCACTCATAATTTTCTATAAGGAAACATGGTTATGTAACTCCAGTAAATATTATGTATGAGCAGGAGATCTCCAAGAAGACATTTTGATTTAATCCACAGTCATAATCAACTGACCCAAACAGGAATCTGAACAGTCAAAGGAAATGGGGAGTAATATCAACTCCCCAGATAGTTACAGTGTGTACTACTCCCTTCAGAGGACACTACAAACAGGCTACTGCGGGTACTATTTAATGAAGATTCCATTTGGGAACCTGTGAGGCGTCTGTTTCTCAAACTAGAGACTCTAATGTACTTATCTTCTTGCTCAGTTGTGCAACCCGGCCTCCCACTTCTTTTTCTATTCTGGTCAGAGCCTGTTTGTGCTGTCCTCTGAAGGGAGTAGTACACACCCTTGTAGGAAATCTTCAATTTCTTAGAAATGAAGGCTATTCCATGCGAGAAATTGCTAAGAACAAGAATAGACTGTTGAGTTTCAGATGAAAGTTCTCTTTTTCTAGCCATTTTGAGCGTTTAATTGACCCCACAAATGTGATGCTCCATAAACTCAATCTGCTCAAAGAAAGGTCAGTTTTGTAGCTTCTGTAACGAGCTAAACTGTTTTCAGATGTGTGAACATGATTGCACAAGGGTTTTCTAATCATCAATTAGCCTCTGAGCCAATGAGCAAACACATTGTACCATTAGAACACTAGAGTCATAGTTGCTGGAAATGGGCCTATATACACCTATGTAGATATTGCACCAAAAACCAGACATTTTTAGCTAGAATAGTCATTTACCACATTAGCAATGTATAGAGTGTATTTCTTTAAAGTTAAGACTATTTTAAGGTTATCTTCATTGAAAAGTACAGTGCTTTTCCTTCCAAAATAAGAACATTTCAATTTCAAACTTTTGAACGGTAGTGTATATACAAAGAAACCAAGGTTTTAGTTAAATTTAAGCAGAGGTGGGTAGTGTAGCCAAAAATTGTACTCAACAGTTGCACCACTTAAACATTTTTTTTACTCAAGTAAAAACAAAAACTAAAGTATTCTGCAGAAAAACTACTACTGAGTAACTGTTGGATAATAACATCAGATTTAATGTTTATAAATTACCCCGGCAAACAGCCTATGTGCAGGTTCTGGTATTTTATCGAGTCAGATGCCTAAATAATACAAATAAATGTCATGAATATAAAAGAACAGATTCGTGCAGAAGAAATTTTTTTTTTCCAACATAAAACTTAGAAAACCCATTTGTTTACCTTTTAGGACAGGTAAACAAACTTCCACTGTTAATATCTACTGTTTACTGCATGTTTACCTGATCAAATACTCACAGAGGACAGAGTATTCAGAGATTTTACACCAGTTGGAATAACAATACTTTACTAGAATATTTCACAAGTAAAAGTAAAGTGCGCCACAGTAAACCGACTCCTAAAAATAGATTTATTGAAATGGTTACTCAAGTAAATGTAACTTAATCACTCCCTACCTCTGAATTTAAGTCATGAAAATATCCTCTACCTACTAAATTTGAAAAATACTTTTAAAAGAAGAATGGAAAATGTCATGATGACACATCTTTCATACCTGGTCATCTAGTTTGACCAAACTAATGAAGCTGAAGGACTCCTTTATGATGATAATACTGTCCTATACAGGCTGTCCTCGTTGTTTCTGGGTACTCTTTAATCATTTAATATTCACTAGTTAATTTACTACAATAGTGACACACATAAACTTCTGTCGTGAGCCACCGATGATTGTGTCTTATTTGTAGTTTGATGAACCTTCCCTTTTTGTGTTTTTGTGGCTGCAGTGAGGCTCAGGGCCATGAGAATCCGGTGTTTCTGGGGGGGTCGCCTCAGATAAAGACCCGCACTGTTTCCCAGATCTTGGCCAGGCAGCCCTCTGAGACAGGCCGCCACTTGCTGACCGACCCAGGAACGCCCCTCTCTCCGTCCACACAAGGGGACGTATTCTTCCCATCTGAAGGTTGGTGGAGTAGAAACCTTTACCTTGACATTATGGAACAATGAGAACATCAGCTGAACTAAAGCCCATTTTCCACCCACCTCTGGTCTTCTTAATGTAACCATTTACCAAGAGACTGAAGAGTTTAAACATAAATATCAGCAGAAAGGCAGCAGATCACAGGATGGGATCATTTGCATCGGTCTCACTCATCTATACTTGGAGCCTGTTTCTAGTTTTCCATTGGCTGTTGCTCTGGAGGGATGAGTCCAGCCTCCTGAGATCAAAGGAGGATTTATTTCAGAGACACTTACTCTTTTCTATAGGAGCTAATTCATACTTTACCATAGTGGGTTTGGTTTGTGCGTTACAGGGGAAAGTTTGGTTTTTATTATATATATTTTTTTGTCACTGAGTTTTTGGTATGCGGTGGAAGTCTGTTAACCTGACTCCGCCAGATGGATTTGCTCCGCATATCCATCTGGAAACCTTCCGTTGAAGTAATTTTGGGAAGGGGCGAAAATATTGGTTAGCTGATTGGCCTATGTTGGTGATGGACAGGCCAAATAAACCAATCAGACCAACGAAGCATATGACGTGCTAACAGAGCAACGACGAAAACACAACCACAAGCCAGGCTACTCTTGCCGAAACCAGTCGGGAGAAGCGCAAAAACATCTTTTCCTCTGAGAAAAGCCTCCAGAGCAGTGTTTTGCTCTTCTGTCAGTGAAGAAATACTCTGTAATTCCGATAAAACTTGCTCGATAGCCACGCTAACGCTAGTTTCATCGGCTAAAGCGGCCATGTTCTTTAGACTGAACTGTCCCGCTTCTCGTTGCGTCACACCTCAACCCGCCTCAAAGCCAACGCTGATTGGACGTTCGTTTGGTGAACGGCTCCAAATTGTCTTTAACGGAGAGTCTCCAGACTGATCTGCGAGTGAAACCTTGAAAGCTCGCGAGATCAGGATGGTCTCACGAGGCTAGATGTCTGTGCCTTGTCTTTCTTTCTGCCGTCACGGCCAAGACTTTCCGTTTCTTTCCCGTCCTACAGCTGATCATAGCCATGGCGCATCGGAAAGCTTTAGTCTTGATCACATTTTGGCCGTCTGCAGTTTCTAAGAAAGCAAGCACTGCTCTAGAAGGTGGAACTATTTCAGAAACAGCCAAAATTGTTGAAGCACTTTTAATTATTAAGGTGTTCACATCAATAAGACTGCAAGGACTTCTGCAGCCTAAAGCCCGTCACACCTTGACGATTTAGACCAGCGTATTCCTGACGTACAAAAAACTGCCAAAAACCCTGGCAAACATTTGATAAAATATGGGCATGTTTTGTATAAGTTATAAGCACGCTGAAGTACGCTGAAACATGCTGAAATACGTCGACATATGGAGAGTAAGTCGGAAAACTTTGCTCAAAATTTCCGGACTTATGCCAGTGTATGGTCATACATGAGCCATAAGTTACAGTTAAGTTATCTGATTGTTGATATACAATAAGTGTAAGTTATTCATAAGTCATGGCATCCAGCTTATGCAAAACCTATGAGTAACTTCTCCTCCTGACTTCATCCCCATCATTGGGTAAGTGAAGATGAGTGTGATGGATCCTCCCTGCGTTCCCGCCCACCACCAACAAACTTCCGAGCAGAAATGTTGCTGAATTTGCTGCCACTGCAAACCTTTTTTCTTTTTCTTTATTCTTTTTTTGTTTTGGGAGGGTGGCAACAGCTAGGTTAATATTTCGATCAAAGACATCTTTTTATGCAGACCGGGCGCTCCTGAGGGGAGCAGCTTTAACTGATGCTTCGTAATGCCCATGAATTGATGGACAAGCATCATTTCACCTGACTCCGCCAGATGGATTTGCTCCACATATCCATCTGGAAACCTTCTGTTGAAGTAATTTTGGGAAGGGGCGAAAATACTGGTTAGCTGATTGGCCTATGTTGGTGATAGACGGGCCAAATAAACCAATCAGATCAACGAGGCATATGACGTACTAACAGAGCTACGACGAAAACACAACCACAAGATCAAACTCTTGCCGAAACCAGTCGGGAGAAGAGCAAAAACATCTTTTCCTCTGAGAAAATCCTCCAGAGCAGTGTTTTGCTCCTCTTTCAGTGAAGAAATACTCTGTAATTCCGATAAAACTTGCTTGATAGCCACGCTAACGCTAGTTTCATCGGCTGAAGCCGCCATGTTCTTTAGACTGAACTGTCGCGCTTCTCGTTGCGTCACACCTTAACCCGCCTCAAAGCCAACGCTGATTGGACGTTCGTTTGGTGAACGGCTCCAAATTTTCATTAACGGAGAGTCTCCAGACTGATCTGCGAGTGAAACCTTGAAAGCTCGCGAGATCAGGATGGTCTCACGAGGCTACATTTCATGGGCATTAAGCTGCTGTGCATTTCCCATAAGTTAGGTGATCCTTGGACATAAGTTCTGGACTTATGAAAACGCTATGTATACGCCCAAAATTGAAAAAATACATAGAAAGTTCAGTGTATGCCAGAATTTTAGGAGATTCTGGGACATCAGGCGTACACTGACTAAATAAGCAAGGTGTGACAGGGCCCTGAACGGTTTCATTAAATCTGACCTAAAAACAAGACTTTAGGAGATTTTCAGTCGTTTTTTTGTTTTTGTTTTTTTTTTATCTTAAGGGAAAAGGCATTTGTCTTTAGGTAATATTAATAAATGCTGCAAAAAAACAAGATGAACAACATAGAAATGGATCAAAAGATGCTTGGAGAAGGAGTTGTTTAAGGCACATGTATGCTACATAGATGCAGCTCAAGTGTATTTAAGTGTATTTTATCAATGTCTGCTTTTTAATACATAAGTCTTATTTTATCACGTTTTAAATTCACAAGAAGTCAAGGTGTGAAAAAAATGTATTAAAGATATAAAGGGCATTATTTTTAAGTATGACCTTTTGAGGCCTGGTTTAGGCCTCTTCTTAGCGGCCTTCATGTTCTCAGGTTCTCTCATGGCTTCCCTTTTTAAAAAAATGTGCACAATCATTTGAAACTGTTTTACTTTCTTGCAGAAATGCTCAAGCTTTAGATGTAATGCCTGAGCGGAGAACCAGTTTCAAGTCAATTTAAATACCAGGTTTTTTAGGTCAAGGACTGTGGCTGAGTCATAATGTGGCTTTCAGAGCTTTACCAGAAGGATGCCCTGCAGATTGTTAGTCTCATCCTCCACCCCTGAAATGGATAACCTCAGCTCAGTCTTGTTTCCAGAAAAAGTCCGGTCATATTTAGAATTCAAACTTCAGAAAGTACTTTAAATATGAAGTTATTCCATACTGTTCAACAAATTATAAGTGTTTTAATTAAGAATAATTTTCATTTAAATGTGCTTTACTGGAGGCATCCATGTTTGTCAAAGAACACTACTGCCACCTACCGGTTTGTGACTTCACAGTCCGGTATCGGCTGTTGATCAAGTCCCAATGCTGTATCTGGTGTTTGTCACAACGCGCCATTATCCAAATCATTTTAAATACATTGTTCTTTAAAATGTTGGCTACATATTATGTATTTTTCTCTCGCCAGAAGTTCGATAGCAAATCCTCCCTTTTTTTTTTCTTTTTTTTTCCACTTTTACCCGATTTATTCCAGCATCCAGCTGCCATGCACGTGGGCATTGTCAGTTTCACTATAGCTCTGGTGAATTTCAATGGTGAAGTCCTCTGGAAATCTTCAATAATTGTTGTTGATTGCAGATGTGTCTAGTAGTTCCCATTGATTTTGCTTGTAAAGCGGGGAGAATGGCGCTAGGCTTACTGCACCGTGGCGTCACTGCTGGAAGATGGCAGGAGGGAGGGGTTACTATATTTGTGCAAAAATGGCCGCTCCCAGACTCTGTGATCATGACGAAAAGTATTGATTTTGTTTTATTTTTTCCTGATTAACACAAAACTCATTAAATCACCACGAATGTATTAGTTTTAGGTATAGGTAATGATCCATTGATTGTTCCTTGCTGATTGGACTTTTCCTTTAAAGCCAAAAAAAAATGGAAATAATAATATTTAGGTAATAAAAGGTGACCTGAATAATAATAATGTTTCCCATCTGTGGGGTCTTTAAATCATTCAGTTAGGCTGAGCTCAGTTTTCTTCAGAATCACAGATCAAATCAGCTGCTTCAGGCTTGTTGCCTGTTTCATAAAAGACTGGGAACTGAAATAAGAGTACAGCACCATTTCCAGCTAATCTTTTATAAACTTTATTTAAAGCTATGAGACGTGGGTAGAAAGTAAACTGAAAAGTATCAAAACGTTTTTACTAAGCCTGAAACTAAGCTGAGAATTTTTTCCAAGTCAAACTATGAAGAAGGGTTACGTGCAGCATCATGCAAGAGTCTTTCACAATGCTGGGTTAAGAAAGTTCTAAATTTCAAAATCTACGCTGTGACTGATGCAATCCAGTACAAGTATGCATCTCTGCTGAAATACTCTGTCATGCAAAAATGCATGTTTACTCTCTAAAACTGCTGCTGATAAGAGTGAATGGTTGGACCTCATCTAATGAGACTGTTTGTTCTCATTAGATGATGTTCTCGGTTTTCCAGACATCCTCTTCTTTTCCTTTTCTTGACTGAATCTAGACCGTCCCATTGTTCAGCTCCAGGGGATTTTTTGGATCCATTAATATCATTGCAGACATTTCTGACGTGCTCAGTTGTACTACTGAACTTCCTAACAAAATTCTCAGATGATGAAAACACCCCAAAAACAGTCCTGTAACAGTTCTAGTAAACTTAATCAGGATGTTCCAGAGGTCTGTGGCCAACACTAATGCTTGCTGACTCACATAGGTTTTGCTGACAAGACAGTTTAGCAAATGATTGGCAATCCGAGTAGTTTGTGTATTAAAGGGGTGATAGAATGATTCTATAGGGTATCCGGTGCTGGGCGTTAAGGTCTCTGAATAGGGTGCGTAACATTGGTTGGGCTGTAAATGGGATATTTGCTGTTTTATGAGACCTAATTCAAGCCCGATTAAAAGCCCTAGAATTAAACAAGAGATTTTCTGTCTTTTTATGGTATGCTCATGAATATTTAGATGAGCTGTGCTCTGATTGGTTGGTTTACAAGCGAAGCTGCTGAGAAAAGACGTATTATAGCAGCAAGCACTCACTCACTGCAACATCGAAATTGTTGAGATGGTAGGGTGACCAGACGTCCTCTTTTTCATGGACATGTCCTACTTTTCATATCTAAAAAAATGTCAGGAGGGAATTTCAAAATTGTCCGGGATTTTGGTCGACTACAGTGCAACACGGAGTTGAAACACACCAGGTACTAAAACCGAGCCGTCAGCTCCCTGGCTGGTCCAGGATCCCCGGCGGACGAGGGCAGGGAGCCAGTTGGGGACAGAGTGACCAAACCCAACCCGGTGAAGGTAGCCTGGACACCAGCAGCCCCGTGCTTCCCCCTGTCTGCATTATCGGCCCCCAGTCCCCCACGTCCGGCTCATACCTCTCTGCTGAGATCCGGTCCAGTCAGCCCTCCATTGAGCCAGTGAACCAGTGGGCTGGTTTGTATGTACATTTCTGGGTGTGGCAAAAGTACAGCCCAGAACCAAATAATGCAACATCCCCGAGTTTACGTCAACTTGGGGCTTCGTTTGAATCCGCCCGTTTTATGGTGGAAGTTTAGAATTGTTAGATTTGCAGCGAAAGGAGGTGTCGATGGGGTTTGAACTTTTCTGTACGTCCATTTCACCCACTGAACTATCGTTATTCCTCTACGACAATGGCAAACTTGGTTTTGCATTCTATGACCCCTTTAATCTAACTGTGCACATCATCCTAAAGAGACCCAACAAGGCTTGGACTCAACTAGAGCCCTGGAGGTGTCCTGCAGCATCTGCCACTAATATTTATCAGCAGATCTTAGAGGGCATAAAAGATTCATGGATTGAACCTGTTTGTTGAGCATATCCCATTCAGGTTGGGTTAAAGAAAAAGTCCGGTCAGCAAAGAATGATCAGTGGATCATTAGCTATACCTAAAATGAAAATAGGCTTATGGTGATTTAATGAATTTGGCGTTAATTTTGCAATCACAGAGTCTGGGAGCGGCCATTTTTGATAGTAACCCCTCCCTCCTGCCATCTTCCAGCAGTGACGTCACGGTGCGGTAAGCCTAGCGCCATTCTCCCCGCTTTACAAGCTAAATCAATGGGAACTACTAGACACATCTGCAATCAACAACAATTATTGAAGATTTCCAGAGGACTTCACCATTGAAATTCACCAGAGCTATAGTGAAACTGACAATGCCCACGTGCATGGCAGCTGGATGCTGGAATACATCGGGTAAAAGTAAAAAAAAATAGTAATTCCACCTTTCCGACTCATGATCCTCCACGGACGGGTTGGTCGTTGGATCGCCAACTCGAAGAGGGAGGATTTGCCATGGAACTTCTGGCCAGAGAAAAAACCCGTAATATGTAGCCAACATTTGGAAGAAGAATGTTTTCAAGATGACTTGGATAATGGCGCGTTGTGACAAACACCAGATACAGCACTGGGACTTGATCAACAGCCGATACCGCACCGTGACGTCACAAACCAGTAGGTGGCAGTAGTGTTCTTTGACAAACATGGATGCCTCCAGTAAAGAACATTCACATGAAAATTACTCTTAATTAAAAACACTGAACAGTATGTAATAATTTCATATTTAAAGTACTTTCAGAAGTTTGAATTCTAAATATGACCGGACTTTTTAAACAGTTTGCTTAACGCTGGAGTTCATTTGTTTTGGTGAGAAAACGACTGGCTATTTTTTTCCCCTCACAAATCTTTGAAGACTTTGGAAACTTCTATCTTCAGCAGCTGTCATGGAGGATTTCCTCCATGACAGCTGCTGTTTATTTCCTCCAGATGTCCTGCAGAAATACACAGGCTGTCTGACGACACTTCTGTCACTTCTTTCTTCTTTTATAAGCTTTGGTCCTGCCTCTTTCTGCTTTGCAGATCTGAACCTGCAACACTTCCCTGTTTTCTTCATAGTGTTGAAACTCTGGTTTGGCCCTCTTTGTTCTGCTTTTTTTTTTTTTTTTACAGTTTCCAGCGAATACAACACATTCTGTGAATTTTATCGGTCTGGATCTGCCTCTGTTTGAGTTGATGCGGTTAAAAAAAAAAGGACCCAAAATGCTGTCATTTGCCTCCTGCCATGTTTCTGTCATATTTATGCAGGAAGTGCAGTGCTGAATGTGCAAACGCCTTCGTATGTCGTGTCGTATCTGTCAGCAAAAAAAAACAAAAAAAACCTTAAAGTGACATTTTTTGTAGATGGTTTTCTATGTTCTCACTGATTCACACCATTTTTTATTCTTTTTTTTCCCAGACATCATCCCAGAGTCTCCAGACCTGGTGCAGATTTAAAGCGGATTCTTCACCTAAACTGTTGTCCCAGAGAGAGAGAGAGACTCCTGCAGCTCTGTTCTTCTTCATTTTAATACCAATGCTATCTCCACGAATCGTCTCATAGTTACTATACAAACACATATTCTTCCTGTCTGGATTTGCAACCTGTACATTGGTCTGGACCCCAGGAGGGAAGGAGGGCTGCGTGCCGTGTCCACCTGCAATAACAGCTGCAGGCCCAAACTGAACTTAAGTCGGCATGTTGCGTCTGATCTTCAGTTCGTCTTAGATTTTTATGGGTTTTTTTTTGCTCTATTGGTGCTTTTAATAAAATGTGGGGGTCATGTAGGAGATAAGTGACACAGTTTATATGCTGATGCTGTTAAAGGGGTTGAGACAAACATATTTTTATTGTGTGCATTCCGATCCCTACAGGATTTAATTTTCTTCCACCAGAATTTTTAATCTTAAATGCAGCAGTGATCTTTTGCCGGTCATTAGAGAATTTTCAGGTTCAGATAAACAGACTCTCAAGCCCGTTACAAAATTCTTCATGTCAGAACTTTGATGCTTTCTGGTTATTTCTGTCTTCTGAAAGGACTAAAGCGATGAGAGAGTTAAAGCCACCGCTACACTTCTGAGCTGTCGGGTAGAAAATGAATAGGGCTGGAACTGTGGACTTAGGTAAGGGGTTTCCTGGCATCGCTGGCGTTGGGTTCTTGATGATGAGGACTAAGAAAGAGCAGGACAAATGATCCAGCCGTTTTCTGCTTCTGAGCTACTAAACAGAGTAGCAACACCTCAACTTATACAAAGTTTGGTGCTCAAGGGTGTGATGTAGCAATGGTCTATTTTGCAAAAAAAAGTGCTTTCTAGTGATGTTTGTGTTTCTAAAAGGACCACCAAGCGAGGTAATGACAGTGGTTGGTTTATAGAAAGATTTACTGGGTTTAAGAGTGTGAAGTAGCAGGGTAGGTATGTGACAGGAGAACCGTGCACCTAGCTGGGCTCAGAATTTCAAATTAAACCACACAGATTAATCACAGTGAGAGAAGTTGAGTCATTGCTGGTCAGTGGCCTGATGTATATTGTGCAGGTTATTCAGGGCAGAACATGGGTGGCTTTTCCCCTGATATCCAATCCCCTTCGTTAGAGAAAAGATATCTGCACAATTTCACGCGCTGCAGATTTGTTTCTACCTTGGATCGGGAGATGGACACCAATATGTCATAGGATAGAGTTCTACTGCACGCTGGTCAAAGCCGACATCGGTGCAAGACTTGGGTTTAATAAAGAAAAGCTCTGGAGCAGTTTAAAAGGTGGCATGCTTTTGCTTTATGACTGAACTGTTCTGTGAAAGGAGCTTTAGATATTACAAGACCAAAACGGGGCATTACATTTCCTCTCTGGATGATATATGCATAAATATATATATATAAGATTGCTTCTCTTCTTTGTTCCTCTGTGCTACCTCAGACTTATGCCTCTTCTGTCTTTTCCATATGCTGCTTAAACTGCACCATAGCCTTAAACTGTTTATTGCTGTTTTAAAGTTTATTTGGGAAAGATTTCATTGTGGTCTCTGTGTTTAATAATGAAGAAAAAGAAAAGATTTTATGTTGAATGTAGCCTTGTGGATACCAGCAAACAGCAGCTGACCTCACTGCCATTAAGACCCTTCCTGTGTGTTTCACAATGTTTATGTTAATCAGGGTAAAGGTTCAGCCGGGCTTTTATTTGTGTGCAATTAGATCTGATAAGCCAAAATCTGTTAAACGGGTCTGAAATCCGATCCGAAGACCAATTGTACCAACGTAGGGTCTTGGATGACTTCCCCAGCTGTTGGTTTTATTTTTAAACTGTAGAACGCATGCAGCTGGTGCTTAGCGGAAATCACCTGCAGAAGAAAGTGTTTAACAGGTTGGTAGGAGATCTGTTGAGATGTAAGCCTGCTGATTTGTGTGTTTCAGAGCTTTAAGAACTGATTTTCTAGTTTCCCTCATAAAAAAAAAAAAGATCACTTTGTATTATTGTGTTTTTATACTGTAAAAAGCTTGCGTGAGAGGAAGTTTCTTCCTTTTAAACTGTCCTCTCGGTAGCCTGTACAATAAAGGGAACTCTCGGAGCCTTATAAAATGCCTTCTGTGTCGTCTCTGAAATCATTGTTCCTCTCAGATGACAGATCCACAAAACCGTCGCCATACAAGGACATTTTACAGCTGCCGTCCAGGGAGTCATCCAGATAAAACAAGGCCGTTCCAACTGTGTGCCTCTGAGAGGCTGTGCAGCAAAAAAAGAGGATAGACGACTAAAACAAGGTTTTATATAAGAGCAGAAAGAGTTTCACTTTAACTGTGTTTGTACAGCGTATCAACAGGAACGTTTCATCTCTGATTTTTGCCACCCACGACGTCCTGCAGAGCTGCGAATGGCTTCCATCTGAACAGACATCTAAACAGCTTTTTATAAGAGCAAAACCACTGCTTAACAATGTCTTTTAGGAAATGTGACTTGTGGCTTTCCTGTTGACAAAACAGCGTTTCCTGAGTTTGCAGCTAGTTTGCACTGCCTTTAGTTTAGGTGATCTGTATCTGTTTTTATACCTGTATCATTGCTGGATCTAAAAAAAAACATAGAATAAGGACTGCTGAGTAGTTTTAGTAGCAACGCTGCGCTGGATAATTATATTTAAATGTTCTCAAACCTAATGAAATATTGGATGCAAATAGGGAAAAAAACGAGAGAATGAGTTGGTTAGGCACAGAAGGTAGTGATTTTAATCATAAAGAAATGTCAGATAATTACCAGACATAAGATATAAAACAAAAACCCCCCGATTGGATCTGTAAGTAACCCATTTTTCTATTTAGTGGCTAAGAGAGATTGTGTGCAATTACATCTGACAAAACAAACAAAAAAACTATAAATACATTTTTCATAAAAAAAAAAATAGTTTTAAATTTAAACTCTTTTGTCAGAATTGACATCATCATAAAGCATGTTTTTGGTGCAATTTGTTTAGAATTAGATTAGTTTACAAAACTTCTGTTCTTTATTTTATGCCCAGGGCTTATTAAATTTCAATGCACCTGCTGGATTAAAGAAAATTAAAAAATCTAATTTGGTAGATCTCTAAAGTTTTCACCTTTTTAATGTCTTTAATTGTAGTGGAATCTGGTATCTTTGTAAGTTTAGATATCGTAGAATCAAACACATGAAAAGTAACTTTAAGGACTGAAATGAATACCATACTTTTTTTTATTTTGTTTAAGTAGAAAATCTTCCACCAAATAAAAAGGATGTTATTGCTGTGGTTTGTAATCTACAGCAATAAAGTAAACTTTCTTCCCCACATGTTTCCCTTTCATACCAATGTATTCAAACCGTTGTGTATCAGTCAGCTTTTGCTTGTTGTAAAATTAAAATATTGATATTTACTAAAACTCCCATATCTGGTCTAAATTAAACTAATTGTAAATTATTTTCAGAAATCTTAATCTTTTGCTGTATTTCTATTGATTGTTATCGTGAGCCTCATTTGGTCCAGAGGATTTACTTAATGAGAAAAAAAAAATAGAACTGATAAACTAAAATAACTAAATGCGGTTATCTTTATTTATTTGAGTCAAACTGTTTCCTTACTTTAAACTGCGAGTGCAAAATATATCAGGAGGTAAAAATTGAGATGTGGGAAACATGGGATGGCGGATGCAGCCTCAGGTTATGGGCTTCTTATTGAACTTTAGCATGTTAGCTGTTGGGGAGCTTGATGCCATAAAGTCGGCTGAAGAAAAATAAGCTAAGTTTTTAATTAGCCTAATGCAAACACTTCATCCTGTTATCAGGGAGCAAACATTATGGAGAAGCAGCAGGATGCAGAGGGTTTCCATGCATACTTTAAAACACTGGGTAATGCATTACAATCATTAAGAGGTGGATTTATTTCATCATCTCGTCTGAGAGAGAAAATAAAGAGTTAAGATCTGCATTTTTTCCTCTAATTTTACACTGAATATCTCCTAAAGAAGATTATCAATGAAAAAGAAAGAAAAAAGACAAAATTTTTAAGCAAAAATGATTATACATGATAAAAAAATAAACAGCAGATGAACACATCAAGGGCGACTGTGTTGGATGAAGGAGTTTGCCCTGAAATCTAAGGGTTGACACTTGAAGCCCCGCCTCCTGCTGTCAGTATTGTTGTGTCCTTGGGTGACACTTCACCTGATGGTGGTCAGAGGGCCCGGTGGCACCAGAGTACGGCACCCTGGCTTCTGTTAGTGAGCCCCAGAGCAGGTGTGGCTGCAATGTAACTTGCCACCATCAGCGTGTGGGTGAATGAATGAATGAAGTGTAAAGTGCTTTGGTCAAAAGATTAAAACCGTTAAAATAATAATACAGCTATAATATCTATGTGCGATTCTTTATTTTGGGAAATGCATTGATATGCTAACTCAAAAAAAAAAAATAAATAAATAAATGTTCATAACATATAACTTGTCACTAGTGCATCCTAAAGACAAAACCTCCCAGACCAAATATGGAGTGGTGTCAGCGGTTCCATGCAGTGAGGAAAGTTCTGATCTTTATATTGGAGAAACCAAACAACCTCTCCACAGATACATAGACCACCACAGGAGATCGACCTCCTCGGGACAAGACTCTGCAGTACGTCTACACCTTATGGACAAAGGACATTCTTTTGAGGACCAGAATGTTCACATTTTGGACAAAGAAGACAGGTAGTTTGAGAGAGGCGTGAAGGAAGCCATCTATGTTAAAATAGAAAAACCAACCTTAAACAGAGGGAGGGGACTCAAAGCTATTCAAAAACCTACAATAAAGCAACTGAGTTGATTCCTTCCCGTTATCATCGCAACCCCCAACCCCTTACAGGGAACAGAAGACCTCGCCTGTTCAGCCAGGCCAACAATTCACTCTTTCAGAGACATAGACAGGTATCAGGTATTGCAGGCTACCTAAGAACCCAAATGACCCCTATTCCAAAGGGGCCGACCTGTTTGTCCGGTTCACTTGGCAAGGCTTTGTTTTGGTCCTCGAACGCAATACTATTTCTGACATTTTGAATTGAAAAGGTTCCTGGATGGGAAGCGAAACGTCTTCAAACTTGTTGTTTTATTTGTTTTTTACCTTTTTGGAAAAAATATATAACTTATTACGACTCTGCTCTTAATTATTATTTAAATTACAGGTGCTGGTCATAAAATTAGAATATCATGAAAAAGTAGATTGATTTCAGTAATTCCATTTAAAAAGTGAAACTTGTATATTATATTCATACATTACATACAAACTCATATATTTCAGATGTTTATTTTGTTTAATTTTGATGATTACAAATGACAACAAATGAAAATCTCAAATTCATCATATCAGAAAATTAGAATATTGTGAAAAGGTTCAAAATTGATGGCCCCTGGTGCCACACTCTAATCAGCTAATTAACTCAAACCACCTGCAAAAGCCTTTAAATGGTCTTTCAGTCTAGTTCTATAGGCTACACAATCATGGGGAAGACTGCTGACTTGACAGTTGTCCAAAAGACGACCATCGACACCTTGCAGAAGGAGGGCAAGACACAAAAGGTCATCGCTAAAGAGGCTGGCTGTTCACAGAGCTCAGTGTCCAAGCACATTAATAGAGAGGCGAATGGAAGGAAAAGATGTGGTCGAAAAAAGTGTACAAGCAAGAGAGATAACCGCACCCTGGAGAGGATTGTGAAACAAAACCCCTTCAAAAATGTGGGGGAGATTCACAAAGAGTGGACTGCAGCTGGAGTGAGTGCTTCAAGAACCACCACACACAGACGTATGAAAGACATGGGTTTCTGCTGTCGCATTCCTTGTGTCAAGCCACTCTTGAACCACAGACAGCGTCAGAAGCGTCTTGCCTGGGCTAAAGAGAAACAGGACTGGACTGCTGGTGAGTGGTCCAAAGTCATGTTCTCTGATGAAAGTAAATTTTGCATTTCCTTTGGAAATCAAGGTCCCAGAGTCTGGAGGAAAAGAAGAGAGGCACTTCATCCACGTTGCTTGAAGTCCAGTGTAAAGTTTCCACAGTCAGTGATGGTTTGGGGTGCCATGTCATCTGCTGGTGTTGGTCCATTGTGTTTTCTGAGGTCCAGGGTCAACGCAGCCACATACCAGGAAGTTTTAGAGCACTTCATGCTTCCTGCAGCTGACCAACTTTTTGGAGATGCAGATTTCATTTTCCAACAGGACTTGGCACCTGCACACAGTGCCAAAGCTACCAGTACCTGGTTGAAGGACCATGGTATCCCTGTTCTTAATTGGCCAGCAAACTCTCCTGACCTTAACCCCATAGAAAATCTATGGGGTATTGTGAAGAAGAAGATGCAATACACCAGACCCAACAATTCAGAAGAGCTAAAAGCCACTATTAGAGCAACCTGGGCTATCATAACACCTGAGCAGTGCCACAGACTGATCGACTCCATGCCACGCCGCATTGCTGCAGTAATACAGGCCAAAGGAGGCCCAACTAAATACTGAGTGCTGTACATGCTCATACTTTTCATGTTCATACTTTTCAGTTGGCCAACATTTCTATAAATCCTTTGTTTTTATTGGTCTTCAGTAATATTCTAATTTTCTGATATGATGAATTTGAGATTTTCATTTGTTGTCATTTGTAATCATCAAAATTAAACAAAATAAACATCTGAAATATATGAGTTTGTATGTAATGTATGAATATAATATACAAGTTTCACTTTTTAAATGGAATTACTGAAATCAATCTACTTTTTCATGATATTCTAATTTTATGACCAGCACCTGTATAATGTTTATTTATGTGCATCTTATACTATTTTTGTCTCTTTTATTCTTCATTTGTGTTTTTTTTTTACCCTATGTATTTCTTCAATGCTATCTCAGTATGCATTTCTGTCTCATTATGCAAATGAAGAGGGGCTGTGTCTTAGAGGGTCAACTTCTGCCCATTGGTTGGTTAGCATTTTATTGCAAAAATAAGTCATTAATAAATAAAGATGAAGATTATGACCAACAGTAAATAAATAAGGTAAACATTAAAAAGGCGAATAAATAAAGAAGCTAATTCAAAGACATATATACATTTATGTATTTCTACCTACATTTATTTATTTATTGTATTTTTTGGGGCAATTAATTGTATGCTTATTTATTTATTGAGCATTTATTTACTTCATTTTATTTTTACTTTATTTTTAAATATGGTAGAGCTGGTCCTCCATAACATTGGACCATGCAAAACACAGATTTGCCTTCACAAAGCCTGAGAAGGGCTAAGATTTATGTACAAAAAGTAAACCCGTACATGGAATTATGTTTTGTTTTCATAAATGTTTGTTGTTTTGTTGGTTTTTGGTGTACGTCTATCTTGAATCTGTAGCCCCCCCTGGAGAAAACTCCACCAGCCGCCACTGTCTTGCAGCGATTTCAAAGAAGAAACATTGACTGTGTTAGTTTGGATCTTACCGACAGAGGGGGGGTGCCGTCATCCTCCACGGTGACGATGAGGTGGTATTCCTGCTGTCGCTCTCTGTCAGGAGGGGCTGGCCGGGTCACCATCTCTCCAGTCATGCGGTCCATGCGGAAAGTCAAGTCCTGGTTTCCAGCAGTGATGTAATAAAACAGCATGGCATTGGGACCAATGTCCCTATCGGTAGCAATGACCTTCAGGACTGAGGTACCTCCTCCAACGTTCTGCCAAAGATAAAACGATCGATCTTTACGACAAACCGACCTTAAGGTCTTCAGATAGATCCCATATGAACGAAATAAAGCGCGAATGCATTCCCACCTCGTTGACGCTGACGTTGTAGCCTCTCTGACTCTCGATAATGGGTGGATTATCGTTTACATCCAGGATGTTGATGGTGAGTGAGTGGTCTGAATGTCTGGAAGGTGAGCCGTTGTCAGTGGCACGGATCTGCACAAACACAAGTGAACAGAAATTAGGGAGGATGGGAACCTCTTCAGGAAAAAAATGAAAATTTAGATTTGAGAATTATGTGTGAAAAATTAAAGAGTTATAAAGGTATATATAGAGTATATGGGGGTTGAAACCTGGTTGTCATAGCTACACAAGCACTGGTTTCTGACCTTCAATAAGTAGCGATCCACTGACTCCCTGTCCAGAGGAGCGTTTACGTAGACCTCTCCGTAGCTGTAGTTCACTGTTTTGATCATGAACACATCCTCCATGTTTCCGGCAACCAGGGTGAAATTGACCTGTTAGAACGTAATCAGTGACACAATCGAATCAGTGGAAAAATAAATACTCCTAATTTATCCAAAGGATCTAATCACAATACAGCCGAACTATGGGATTAAAGCTGGGTCGAATAAGCCGTTCCTATGTCATTGTTTTTATTCTGATCTTCTGGGATTCCAGACATCACTTTTCCTCAGTTCCCTGAGGAGCCTCATGAAAAGCTTTAATGGATTTAGTAGTTAAATGTGAGCCTTTTGGTTCATTTTTAAAAAATCTTTTAAATGGGTCATTTTACAGTAAATTTCTTCTGTGTGATAAAAAAAAAAGTTCCAAAGTTGAGAGGAACATGGCACCTAGCAGACTTTAGAGGGTAACCACAGCCCGTCTGCAGCAGCCCTCTCTCTGCATAATGGTGCATGAAGGACCGCTGGCTCTGATGGCGATTTTTTTTGTCTTATTTGGAACATTTTTTTTATTTGTGTTTATTATTACCCCACAAAATGAAAAAAGTAAGAATTTATTATTATCTAGCGACTATTACTAACAGGAGGTGAAATGCAGCTCCAGACGAGCTTTGATCCATATTTATGCTGCATGCTCCTGGTCTCCCGGAGTCCAGACTTCCCTGTATTCTTCTCAAGAACTTACTTGGCGAGGACACGAGTCCGTGCCTGCGTTCTTGTGAGAAACGGCCTTAAAGATTGGTTCTGATCTCATCTTTCTCTGGAGGATAGTGTCTAAAGGGTTTTATATCAGGCCAGTTTAGTCAGGAGGCCCAGTGACACAGTGGCGTTGGATGTAGGAGTTTGCCCTGAAATCGAAGGATTGACGGTTCAAGCCCCGACTCCGACTTTCAGTGTCATTGTGCCCTTGGGCAAGAAACTTCACCTGCATTGTCTACTGATGGCGCCCAGTGGCGCCAGTGTACGGCAGCCCCGCTTCTGTCAGTGAGCCCCAAGGCAGCTGTGGCTACAATGTAGCTTGCCACCATCAGTGTGTGAGTGTGTGCGTGAATGGGTGAATGAATGTAGTGTATAGTGCTTTTATTCAAGTCAGGAGACTTAAATAAAAGCACTATATAAGTAGCATGGCATTTACCATTTAAAATGACTTGGATTGCGACAAACACCAGAAACAGCACTGGGACTTGATCAACAGCCGATACCGCACCGTGACGTCACAAACCGGTAGGTGGCAGTAGCCTTCTCTGACAAACATGGAAGTCACCAATAAAGAGCATGCCATTTACCATATCATTATTATTGGTGATGTTTTCCATGCAGGCAGGTGGAAAAAATAAAATCAGCATCTCCGTAAATCCTGTCAACAGATTGAAGGGTGACTTTCTCTAGGACTACCTAGTAGACAGCTCCAATGAATCTGGATTTAATAAAACTAGCAGACCAACATCAGCAGAAGACATGGCACCCAAACGCCTACCCAACTATGAAAACTTCAGACTGGAACTAAAAAAAATTGGATAGTTTGGCTCTCCAGTTAGTGCTTAATTTTCTAATAATATACCAAATCATTAGCTATAACTTCACCCTCTTTCATCTTTGCTCTTCTCTATATTATTTCTTTTTCTAGGTTCCAGTGCACATGCTGTCTACTAATTAGGGATTCCCGATATAATCGGCCCCCTATCGGTATCGGCCTTAAAACTGAATATCGGACATCGGCCACCCCACCGATATTTAACCCGATATTTGATCAGCTTCTGAGTTTCTAAAGTCTAAAAAAAAATAATACTACTTCTTCTTCATCCTCAAAAACTTCTTTTTTACAGACTTAAAAACTTCTAAAGACGAGGGAACAATATTGATACATTAAAATATCCCAATATCTTCATATGCTGATATATTGCCATTTAAAAACACCATATCAATCTCTTTTACTAATGAAATATTGCTATATGTCATCGTTATGCTATGAAATCCCCCGAAAATTCACCAAATTTTGCCATATTTTTATATGTTGATACATTGACGCGGTATCGATCTATTTTACTAACAAAATCTCACAAGAATTTGCAAAATATCACGAGAGTTTGTAACAGAACGATGAAATTTCACGAGATTTTGAAAGTAAAATAGATCGATACCGCGTTTTTAAAAATCAATTTGATATCAGCATATGAAAATATATTTGAGTATATTATTTGTAAAAGTGTCAAACTGCTATTTTCAATGACTACTTATTTTTGTCCAGCTTTAACATCAGTATCGATATCGGTTATCGGCTACATGAGTTTAAAAATATCGGCCAAAATCCCAATATCGTGCATCACTACTACTAATAGCATTTAATAACATAAAATAATCTTTAGAACTGCCGCTTTAAGCTTAGTCAGCCTCACCAGTCCATTTAATCCGGCATCGGTGTCCCTCGCCAGCACCACCGCCACTTTTTTCCCGAAGGCCGTGTTTTCTGGGATGCTCACAGACGTATCTGATGTAATATCAAACACCGGCCTGTTGTCATTTTCATCCAGAATGGTAATGGAAACCTGTGAATCAGCAGAATTACTACTAGGTTCCCCCATAGGTTGAAGATTGGCACTTACCTTTAAAATACATTAAGTGAAATAAAAACAGACGTTAAAAGTGTCACAGTGAGGGGAAAACACCTTACCTTCTATAGATCCAAAGAGGGATGCAATTGATAAAAGGGTAAAGCTGTTAGTCTAAAACAAATGTGACACATTAAAATTAGAACTCAAAATTCAGCATTAAAAGCCTGTAACTTCCAAACAGAGAGACGTACCACAGTGGAGTCCTTCTTCGGTCCTCCGTCGTCAGCTACAACAGTCAGCGTGTAAGAATCTCCCCTCTCTCTGTCCAGTAGGCCTGTTACTGTGATACGGCCCTGGATCACCAAAAAAAGGTCAATAAAAAAGGAAAACTACCTTAGAAATGACTTCAAAGAACGGAGCTCTTTGATCAGATTTCCTTCGTGCAGCAACAACTGCAGAAAAAAAGGGTATTTTTGAATCGCTGTGTGATAAACAGATGAAACATACTACAGGAAAAATCTTATATATCTATACTAAAAGTGCACTAATTTCATACTTAAAATCAGGCAGTGCGCTTAGAGTTTACTTATTCTAAACTATATTTCAAATACCTTACAATATTATAGTCCAGTGTACTTGACTATACTATTGTTTACTAAAGTATACTTTAAGTATACTTTAGTAAACTTAAAAATGTCCCAATTTAGTTTGAAGAAGTATTACTTTAGTAATACTTCAAGTACACTAAAAGTACATTGTTCGGTATACTTTCTAAACTTATACTTAAGTATTCTTAATAGAATTTACTTCAGGTATACTACTTTTTGCTAAGGGGTATCTTTCCATCTACTGACTTTTTATGCATTCTTCTTTGCCAAATGGCTGAACTAAAGTCAAATTGATTAATTGATCGGTTTCGTCATAGATTATCTCATGTGATTGAGGCCCCGTCCACACGAAGTCAAACCCTGGCCTAAATTCACTAATTTTTCACCAAACCAGCCTCTCATCCATACGAAGCCGGAGTTTCGGGGGTCTGTAAACGATCTTTTTTTTTATTAAGCCTTCAGAGTGGGAAGATTTTGAAACACCGTTTTCGCGTTTCCATCTTTAAGCTCTGACCGCATTTTTTTTCTTACACGCATGCATCATAGCGTCGCCTCTAAACACGCATGCGCGACACAGTATCACAACAACAATGGCGCCGTACTGTGTTGAATGGTTGCTGCTCATGCTACTCACCCTGCTGTCGGGCTTACAACAGAATCTTCTTCTTCTGGAATATCTACAGGAAGAACAGAGCAATATCGACCACATAGTTCAGCACTTCTTCTAGTGGTTTTCCAGTTTGGTTGTTGTATAAATATTACTGCGCATGCCCAACATTTCGTTGCCTGTTTTCGCCTATTTTTGCTTTGGCACCACAGCGCCACTTACAGGCCTGGCATACATTTTGCAGCGTTTTCATGTATTTGTGTGGTCGATCACATTTATTTTACGTCTCCGTCTTTAAGACAAACGTTCTGGAAAATATTAGCGTTTCGTGTTCGTTTTGACTTCGTGTGGACGGGGCCTAAGATCCATACTTCCCCCTAACACCAGATGTCATTAAGATGTTGGTTTTTAAACTAAATCTGGTCGATCCGTCATAGTCTGGATTTAGTCCACAAATAGTTGTTGCAAACTGGGCTGTGTTTGGTCGGTCTGATTTTGTCCCACTTTAGTCCAAAAATACTAGGGTTTTTTAATGTTTTTTAATGATCTGAAAAGCTCATTGGGGCAGTGGGTAGACGTTTTAATTAAAATGCAGTGAGTGGGTAACACTGCTGCCTTGCAGCAAGAAGGTTCCGGGTTCAATTGCCAAGCTGGGCTCTTTCTGCATGGAGTTTGTATGTTCTCCCTGAGCATGTGTGGGTTCTCTCCGGGTACTCTGGCTTCCTCACACAGCCCCAAAACATGAATATTAGGTTAACTGCTTTCTCTAAATTCTCCTTAGGTGTGAATGTCTGTTTGTCCTGTTTGTGTTGCCCTGTGATGGACTGGCGACCTTGTCCAGGATGGACCCCGCCTCTCGCCCGTTGAAAGCGGGAGATAGGTACCAGCACCCCTTGCGACCCCAACTGGGATAAGAGTGACAGAAAATGTACGGATGCATGGATGAAAATTGCGGCTTTTCACTTTTCAACCAAATGTCGACGTCGTTTGGACATAAATCATGTCATCTTTTCAATGCCTTTCCAACCAATTATTGCTCGGTAGGTTTACTAGGTGCCTGTCCCTGCTATGCTATGTTCCTGCTGGGAGGAGAACCTCTGCCTCAGTCTTTGGGAGCTATGCTGATGAAGGTTCTCAGTCATCCAGGTCATAGTCATTCCGTAAAAATTCAAAAAAATATCCACTGGACTTGGTTTCCAAGATTTTAAGACGTTTCTCCACCTCTCCAGGAAGCTTTCTCAATTCAAATGTCTGGATCCGCAGTGAGATTGAATCTCATATAGACAAAGCCTTGTGTCGCTTGGAAACATGCAAATGGTAACCGATGAATGGGTCGTTTGGTTCCATCGTTAGCCTGTAATATCTGAAACCTGTCTATGATTCTGAGGGTCGGTCGTTAAAGGGGGGCGATTGCCGTTAAGGGGGGGATTGTCTCCTGTAATACCTGAAACCTGTCTATGATTGTTAAGAGTCTGTCGTTAGGGAGGTATTGTTCACCGGCTGGAGCGGGTAGGACCCTCGTTCCTCTGTGATATCACCAAACCCCCCAGTTTGGTGATATCAGGAAGGGATCATGTCTATGATTTAATTGTATGTTTTTGGGAGCTGGAATCTGGGTCCACCACCTCTGTTTAAAGTTGGTTTTTCTCTCTTAACATAGATGGCTTCCTTTGGGAGCCTTGAACAAATGTTCCTCATCCACTATGACCAGCCTTTTCCTGTTGCAGAAAAGCATGATGCTGCACCCACTAGTTTCACCAGAAGCATGTTGGGTTCAGGATTAATTTTTTAGCATGTGAGCTAATTAGCTCAACTATGGTCTATTTACTAATTAGGTGACTTCTGGAGGGAGCTAACAGTTGGACGTTTTCATTCTGGGATAACCTAGAAAAAGAGGCTGAATAGCATTAAAACAAGTATTATTCCCCCATCAACAGGTGTCAAGTAACAAAATACAAATACTTTGTTACCTTACTTAAGTAGAAATTTTGGCTATCTATACTTTTTACTTCTACCTCTTTTATAAAAAAATATATATATATATATATATATATATATATATATATATATATATATATATATATATATATATATATATATATATATATATATATATATATATATATATATATATATATATTGCAATTATCTCTACTTTCTACTCCTTACATTTTAGTTTGTTTCAATTAAGCTCATTTGAGTTATGGCCTGTTGGTATAAAAAATAAAAAAAATAAAAACCATCTAAATAATTAATTTCATCCAGATAATTAATTTCTTTGTGGTTGGACTCAGTGCTGCCCTAACTTGTTGTTCACCACATACCAAAATAAATAGTTTCTCAAGATGATGCAAAGTTAAATGTGACACTGTTACCATTAGTTATAAACTAAGTCTAAGGAAGTTTTCATCCAGAAATCTTAAAAAAATTCCTTTATACTTTAATTAGTTTGAAGAATTGTACTTTTACACTTTTACTTGAGTAATATGCTTAAGTGATCCTCTAACTTCTACTAAAGTATTTTTAAACAGTAGGATTTATACTTCTACTTGAGCGATAAGCATCATATATCTCTGCCCATCAAATACTATATATACGCTCTTATGTATAAGTTTATTACATTTAATTTAAATATTTTGCTGTAATATCTGGACCTAAGTGTATCCTCTAAAGACTATGCTTAATGCCAGATCTGTTGACTTTACTCCACTCACCGTGACGCTGTCTATCTTGAAGAGGGCCAACGCTGCTGGCGATGTATCGGGATCGAATCGATAAGTCAGCTGGTTCAAGTTGTCGGCTGACTGCGCCTGAACCTGAACCACTTCCGTCCCCGTGGCGATGTTCTCCCTGAGAGACGCCTCGTAGCCCGCAGAGAAGAAGGCCACGGCTTCATCCAGCTCGTTCAGTAGGGTGACGTAGACGGTGCAGAAGCCCCGGTGGAATGGCGACGCCTGGTCAGTGGCCGACACGTTCATCAGGTAGGAGGTCTTGGTCTCGAAGTCTAAGTAGTCCACAGTGGTGACTAGACCGGTGCTGACGTCCACTTGGAATTTGCGGTCTGAGCCGGAAACAATGGAGTAGGCAACAGATCCACCATCACCTGCACAACAAGGCAGAAAGGTGGATGAATTATTCAGAATTAAGGCACCTAACAGGAAGTATAACTCATGATGTAAATGCAGTGTTGGACAAAGTACTCAACAGTAGAATGAATGAGTGTTGATACCCATAGTAAAATCTTACTCAACTACACTACAAGTAAAGTTACTCAGTCAAACATCTACTCAAGTTTAAGTATTGAAATGCTCACTTAAGTATTCAAAAGTACAAATTAAGTTTTCGAATCAGTACCATTCTGTTTAATTTTCAGAGTAATTATAAAGAACCTGTAACTTTCACAGGGTTCGTACGGGTGCTGGAAATCCTTGAAAATGCTTGAATTTTGACGTTGTGTTTTCAAGGTTTAAAAAAGTGCTTATATTTTGGATGAAATGCTTGAAAATGCTTGAAATTGTAACTATTTCTTTCGCAACAAATACCTATCTTACTGAATCGTGTGTTTATTAAATGGAGAAATAAAATGTTGGAGAGCCCGAAAATGAAACCTGCTCGCTTATGTGTGACTGCGATCTGCCAGTCTATTTCTATGAGTGACTCCGCCCCCATGAAACCACTAGGGCGCCTCGCCAAACTCACGGTACCGCCTCGCCAACATTCCAAAAAACAAAACAAAACAAAACGAAAAACGAAGTTTTAATTCATTGCCAGGCCCAGACCTTAAAACAGCATTGATAAGTCCACGCCTGATAATACTGAATTGCGACACCCTCTGGTTGGTTAGGTTGTGCTCTGACAAATTAAGATAGGATTTAGTTTATGTATTCATTTCAAACCCAACCACAACCCCCCCCCCCCTTGACTTTGGAAAAGTTGTACGAACCCTGCTTTCAGAAACCACCTGATATATTGATGCATAGAACTACCTGCTACAGATTCTGCTCCACCTGGAAGAACTCAAAGCATAAAAATCCCACAAAAAAGCCAGTATTTATGATTATTATTTCTTATTCAGGCTCCTACCCTGTGGAACCAACTACCAGTTTTAGTCCGTGAGGCAGACACCCTGTCTACTTTTAAAGCTAGGCTTAAAACTTTTCTTTGTGATAAAGCTTCTAGTTAGAGTGGCTCAGGTTATCCTGAGCTATCTCTATAGTTCTGCTGCTATAGGCTTAGACTGCTGGAGGACATAGATGTTGGAGATCCGCCTGTTTTTCAGTGTAGTCCTGTTTCTCTGACTGTGACTGGCTGGATGTGCTCACTTCATCATCACATAGGAGCTGGCTTAGAGCTCCTCTGCCTCGCTGTGTGTTTCCTGGACGGGGCCGCCTTTTACAGTTGCCTTTTGTATTTCTTCTTCTTTCTGTATCTCTGCTTCTGTCTCCTTGAACCCCAGTCGGCCTCAGCAGATGGCCGCTCAAAGTTCTGCTGGAGGTTTCTTCCTGTTAAAAGGGAGTTTTTCCTCTCCACTGTCGCTACAAGCATGCTTGGTTTGAGGGATTGCTTTTGAGTAAATGAGTTGATGCAATCAACTGGTTTTCCTAAGACAGAAAACCTTGAATCAATCTGACTGGATGATCTGGTAAACCCTAAAGTGCCTTGAGATGACATGTGTTGTGAACCGGCGCTATGTCAATAAGCTGAATGGAATTGAATTGAATAAAAAAAGACAAACAAAAAGAAAACAGGAGAGTCTTGATTCTCACACTTTCATTATGGAATAAAGGTTTAAGGCTGGATCTATTGCCACAAAGAAACTACAGCTCTGATTTGAGAACTCGTCCTACTGAACAACTTAGCCACATGGCAACAACTAACTTTAACTAACAAGCTTTAATAACATTTATAAACTACAAATAATTTCTGCCCTGAGTTTTTAACTTTTGTGGAATGTCATCAAATCTCTAAAACAGGGGAGTCCAAATTCAGACCTACACTGCAAAAACAATCCAGAAATAAGTAAAAAATTGCTTAAATTAAGTATATTTAGCCTTAATTTGAGCAGGTAAATAAGATGATTTGCCAATGGAATGAGTATTTTCACTCTTAAAATAAGATAGTTAGATAATATTTACTTGAAATAAGAAGATAAAATTGTTTTTTCTTATTTTAAAAGGAAATTGTCTTGTTCCATTGGCAAAGTGTCTTACTTACCTCCTCAAATCAACGAAAAACACACTTATTTTAAGAAAAAATAACTTATTGAGATTTCTATTTTTTGCAGTGTACACTGCAAATACAATCTAAAAAGTGGTAAAAAATATCTTAAATTAAGTGGATTTACCCTTAATTTGAGCAGGTAAATGAGATAGATTGCCAACGGAATGACCAATTTTACTCTTAAAATCAGATAATTAGATAATATGCACTTGAAATAAGACAATGCAATTGTGTTTTCTAATTTAAAGTATAAATTGTCTTGTTCCATTGGCAAAATGTTACTTTGGATTTTTTCCAGTGTAACGGCTGCTATCTGCCATGTTGAAATGAAAAACAGCAACAGCGGATTACAAAGCTCAACTAAGCCAAAAGGAAAAAATAACTAGCAGCTCCCTAGAAATATAGTGTAGTAGAAGTTTATAAATACCCCCCCCCCCCCCCAAAAAAAAAATAAAAAAATTACTCAAGTAAAATTACTCAGAAAAAAACTTACACTGCAAAAAATCTAAATCTAGATAAGTCATTTTTTTCTTAAAATAAGTGTATTTGTTGTTGAATTGAGGAGGTAAAAAAGACATTTTGCCAAAGGAACAAGACAATTTACACTTAAAATAAGAAAACACAATTGCATTGTCTTATTTCAAGTGCATTTTATCAAATTATCTTATTTTAAGAGTAAAATTACTCATTCCATTGACAAACTATCTCATTTACCTACTCTAATTCAGAGTGAATGCACTTAATTTAAGAAAATTTTACTTATTTCTAGATCGTTTTTGCAGTGTTAGTACATTAATCAAGTAAATTTACTTTGTTATTTTCCACCACTGAGTAAATGACACTGAAATATTAATCCTAAATTCTTTTAATAAGGCAGTCGCTCTAACTTCCTCTGCCGTGGTGTCTGTTAGAAAAATTATTTGTATTAATGTTTTGGAAAATATTTGATAACCAGATGCGTCATTGTCTCCGTTACATAATGGGAAGTGAGCAGAGGAAGTTGAAACTGTGGAAGAAGTAAGACTTTTAAATGCTACTTTCAGGCGGCACCATGGTTTTCACACAGCTGAGCTAAACAGCAAGGTTAAACAAAAATGCTTTGTTGCTTTCTAATGAAACAGCACCCACTAGTGGCAGGGTTGATACTCTACAAGCCAGCAGAAACATTTAAATGACATTGGGTCTGAATGCATCCTCTCCTGTTTAAGGTGTGCCAGATGTGAGCACAGACTCACCAGTATCGGGGTCCGTGGCTCGCACTACAATCACAGAGGTGCCAATTCCTGCAGTCTCCCTCAGGCCTAAGCGGTTGTACTGTTGCTGGGTGAAAACCGGCACCTCATCGTTGGCATCTTCGACATAAATGATCACCTGTGGGAGGAAACATCTGCTACTTTCTGCACCAGCAAAGATTTACATGATATTTAGCAAACAGGTGACTAAAGAGTAATAAAACCACAACAGCTGTTGATAAATGCTTCACTTGAGTGACAAAATTGCTGCTTTAACCTTTAAACCAGTTTATAGGGGGGAAAAAACAGATTTATGAAAAGAATAATCAGAAATAGGCCAAAGTTTATCTTTAAAACTTCCTGGTCAGCATTATTTTCTTATTATTTCTCACTATGCTTAAAGGAATAGTACACCCAAAACATGATTAGCCTTCATTTTCTACTCACCCCCATGCTGAACAACACTCTGGAGTACTTTTTTGATATCTCAAATGCATCTGGAGATCTGGGAGGCTTCTTGCTGTCTGCTGACATTCAAATAATGGAGGTCTATGGTGCCCGAGGCAGAAAGGTCCATAAAAGTCCACAAAAAACGTGTCAATATTCCTCCATCCTGCTCGTCCAATGTATTCCAAGTGTCCTGAGTGGGTAGCGTCCATAATTTACTCGAAACGAAGTCATTTAGAATGTTTTTAGAGCATAAACAGTAGTGTATAGGATTTCCTGAAAGCGCTTTTGCGAGTTCAAGACGCTACGGAAACCGCGGCAGACCAAACCAGATGAAAGTGCGCATTCAGCTCGGCAAAGAACTCATGCTCTTCCTCAACACTGAAGTCCTCAGGCATTTTTCTTTCGTTGTTTCTTTCTTTGAACAGGTAAACAGCACATTTCTTCTTCTACGCTTGCATTATCGGCAGAGCAGACGCTGAATGCGCACTTTCATCTGGTTTGGTCTGCCGGCTTCCGTAGCGTCGTGAACGCGCTTTTAGGAAATATTATACACTACTGTTTATGCTCTAAAAACATTCTAAATGACTTCGTTTCGAGTAAATTCTGGATGCTACCCACTCAGGACACTTGGAATACATTGGACGAGCAGTATGGAGGAATATTGACACGTTTTTTGTGGACTTTTATGGACCTTTCTGCCTCGGGCACCATAGACCTCCATTATTTGAATGTCAGCAGACAGCAAGAAGCCTCCCAGATCTCCAGATGCATTTGAGATATCAAAAAAGTACTCCAGAGTGTTGTTCAGCATGGGGGTGAGTAGAAAATGAAGGCTAATCATGTTTTGGGTGTACTATTCCTTTAAAACACATTAAGGATAAACCACTGGCCTGTTGCATGTCAAAGCCTGTTTGCCTGAACTCCTCACCCTCACTGAGCTCCGCAGGCTGCCTTCATCACTGTTGTAGGCTTCCACCTCCAACACGTGGGAGCTGCTGGTCTCTCGATCCAAAGACCTGTTCCCTCTGGTCAGCAGCCCGGTCTGCCTGTCGATGCTGAACAGGTTGTTGGTGTTCCCTGGACCCACAAACACAACCGTGCAAAGAAAGGAAGGAAGCTCACACTCTGTAACCTTTAACCTTTTACTTTTCTACAAAATTTACTCTTGGTCATTGCTGGTCTGCTGTGGTTCTGCAGGAGGTTTCTTCCTGTGAAGGGGAGTTTTCCTCTCTCCTGTCACTTCATGCATGTTCGAATGAGTGATTGCTGCAAAGTCAGCGATATCACAAAGACACCAACTGTGGCTGCATCCTCATACAGGAGGGATGAATGCTGTGAATCGGTTACTCAATGCAATCTGCAGTTTCCTTAGATCAGGAACATTTTACCACTTTTATAGTAAACTAAACGGAACGGTATAAATACTGGAAGTAGAATATACTATGTAACTGACCTGTTTTGGGTATTTTTCTTTTGTACGTGATGAGATTTGATCCCTAGCTTCAAATCACCATCCATTTAGAGACCCTGAAGGCTGATTTTCAGACTCTGATTTATATGAAATAGTGTCAAATTTCTGTGTTTATGATGAAAAACACTTTAAGAATAAAAGAAAATGGAAACAGGCCCACAGCATCACACCTCCTCTACTGTAAGTCCCAGAGGGATTTAGTAAAGGTTCATTCTGCCAAGCCTCAAGCACCAATAGGTATTTAGGAAACCTGTTAGCTCAAAGATACCAATCTCACTACAGATCTCTAGCTGCTGGAGATCTCTCACCGTGATCCTCACTGCAGGTGCTGTCGAGTTAAACATTGATCCTCATCCAGTCTAAGAGCCAGAGGCTGTCATATAATCCCTGAGTGAAGCTGAATAACAGACCATCAGAAGCTTTGAGGTGATAAACGGAGAAACTAAACACAAGCAACCTGTCTGGAAGATCAGGTTACAGTGAATACTGAATAATGAATGAAAAAGACTTGCGTAACATTCAGTGTCATGCAGGTAGAAAGCAAAACATAAAGGCAGAAACAGAACACAGAACCTGGGATTATTAGACAGTTCGTGACACAGAGGCGTGACGATCACAGGCAAACACAGGAGTCAAGGAAAACACAAAGAAACCTCTTATTCCAGGAATAATTCAAACTATTTGGTTATATTTATTAATGGTTGTTAGGCTAACCAATAATAGCATTGGGGTTTGACCCCCTCCCCCACACATGCTCTCAAATAACCTAACAAAAGGTTTTATTTCTCAAAATCCTTATGCAAGAAATTATGCAGTGCTTAAGAAAATGACTTCCTTACACACTGTTTTATCCTGGTAGTAATAGAATAGAATAGAATAGAATAGAAAATCCAGTGGGACATATTTAATGCGGCTAACGCTGCAAGTATTGTCTGCAGATTTTGAAACTGGTCTGGAAGGAACTTGGCTCACCGTGTTCTTCTGTTTTCACTTGCTGGCAACACAAACTAACTTCCTTAAACAAGCAAACGATTATTTTTCCTCTTTTTTTGGTGAGAGAAAGTCTGAAGATTTTAGAAAGCAGCCAGAAGTCGGAAACAAATTTTATTTTATTTTTATGTTCTTCTCTAGAACTTCTTTCACTGGAAAAAAAAAAATCTAGATCAGTCATTTTTTTCTTAAAATAAGTGCATTTGTTCTTGAATTTAGACGGTAATAGAGACATTTTGTCAATGGAACAAGACAATTTACATTTAAAATAAGAAAACACAATAGTTTTGTCTTACTTCAATTGCATTTTATCTAATTATCTTATTTTAAAAGTAGAAAAACTCATCAAATTGGCAAATCATCTCATTTACCTACTCAAATTAAGGGAAAATACCCTTAATTTAAGAAATGTTTACTTTTTTCTAGATCGTTTTTCCAGTGTTGTTAGAACTATAATAAAAAGCTGTAGTAGAAGGTTCCAATACATTTTGAAAGCACCTTAACCTAAGTGACACTGATACTGTTATTTAAACCTGGACGATAACAGTAAAGGGATTGTTTTTCAGGACTCAAGGTGTGAGAGACAGAATTATTTCGAGTGCAAGTTTGAACCAGTTTAGATCCTTCAAAAAGTTTAAAACAGGGGTCTTCAACGTTTTCCAGGCCAAGGACCCCAAACTGATGACAAGATGGAGCGGGGACCCCCTAATTATATATATATTGTATGAAATTGTGTTATATCAACTTGGTCCTACAGTCACTCTATTACAGATTGAGTAATGTAAGGAAAGTAATTTCTCCCTGGGATTATTAAAGTATTTCTGATTCTGATTCCTGGTTGATGGGACAGGTGTTGTGAATGAAACGGTGCCCAGGTTTGAAAGAGCTCCTGTGTGTTGCTGAATGTGTGCATTGATGACTGAAAGACAGCTTCTGCCTCCATTTATCTGTTTACTACAGTCTGTTGAATTCATGTTAATGTGGATTTAAAGACATTTCAATTCAGGAGGGAATATTTAAAAAAAAATGAATCAACCAAACCCTCTAGGGGTCACGGACCCCCTGTTGAAGACCTCTGGCTTAAAACATTTAAAGGCTTCAAACAAAATCCACTAAAAACAGATCGAGAAGTGCACTGACAGGTGTATGGATGTATAAAGTGATGGGTGGACACATATGGATGATTGGTTGATAAAAAAGGCACTTGTTTTTTTGCACTTTTTATATAAAAACGGTTTTGTAAGACTATTAGTGGTATTTTTGTTTCTCCAAATCAGCTCTATAAGTTGTGTTAATTAATTTTAATTTTCAAATTCCTAATATTTTACAAAAAGACATTTTGTCATACGCCTATGGATACAATATTTTTTAAATTTTCAATGCAGTGCAGGAAGTAGGGATGGGACGATTTATGTAAACCGTCCGAACCGTTCGGTTCGACTGTCTCGGTTCGGTTCGCGTGTGTTGTGTTCGGTTCATGCGCTGCTCCTTTTTCTCATTGGCAAAGCGTGTCAACTCCAGAGCAGAAGGTGGCGGTACTGCGACCAAAGCCAACCACCAGTAGTAAACAAGAAAAAGAAGAAGCGAAGCAGCGTAGCCGGGTGTAGCAGGAAAAAATCAGCTGTTGTGGAGAATTGTGTGGGTATGGCGAGTGGGAAAGAACAGGAGTTGGAAGACGCGCCAGCAGCATTTTATAGGTCTGCTGTATGGGACCCCTTTGCATTTAGAGTGACCTACGATGACGGCGGAAAGAAAGTTGTGGATAAAAGTGCAAAAGTGTGCAAGCATTGTGCAACACGTTTTGTTTATGCTAACAGCAACATGACCAACATGTCATGCTAACCCCGAGATCCCACATACTCCGCTCCGCTGCGCTCCAGACCGCCTGCTCAAAGCAAAGCCTACAGCCTCCACTGAGGCTCCCGTCCGCTCCGAGTCCCTTGTAGATCGTAGAGAGCATGCGCCAGATGATTAAATTCAAAGCAGCAAAACATACGGAAATAATCCAGGGTTTCCGCGGATCATTTAAAATATTTAAAATACATTATTTTTTGGGGGATTTTTTCATTAATTTATAAATTTTTATGGGATTTCGGTGTAATAATCAACATATACCGAATCGAACCGAACCGAAAACCGTGACCACGAAACCGTGAATCAAACCGAACCGTGGATTTTGTGAACCGGTCCACCCCTAGCAGGAAGTATTAAAAGTATTAAAAAGGAGGTTTTAGGTAAATTTAGGTTGGTTTCCATTGACGGACTCACCAGTGAGGATCCGGTATAGAACCCGTCCATTTTCTCCCTGGTCTGCATCGGTGGCTTGAACCTGAACAGGTAAACAAGAAGAAAAACAGTAGTCAGGATGAAACAGTAAAGCAGACGTGTAGGTCTGTGCATGTTAGCTGTTCCAAACAACTGCAGATTCAGCACACCTTAATGAATTCCAGCTCTTTATTCTGGGTTTCCTCTACTTTAAAATAAGTTACAATGTTCATAAACAATCCAGAAACAACCAAGGCTCCATGCGTCCTAAACTGTTATAAACCACAATGGCACCAGTTTTATCTGGTTTGACATGATAGCTGAAAGAAAGCGGCTGGATAAGCTGATCAGGAAGGCCAGCTCTGCGATTGGAAGCCCTCTGGACTCAGTGCCGAAGGTGAGAAACAAAAGGATCCTAAATAAATGATGGATAATGTCTCCCCCCATGCATGAAGCTGGTGCTGAACTGGACAGCTCCTTCAGTGACAGACTGCTGCACCTTAAATGCACCAGGGAGCGTTATCACAGATCCTTCCTCCCAGCAGCTGGAAGACTCTAGAACCACCACTGTTCCCAACAACCTCAATAAGATGTTACATTCAGGTTGATTTTGCACAGTTTCTACCTTCTATTATCTTGTTGCTGCTGTAAACACCAGAATTTCCCCATTATAAAAGGATTTTCTATTCTATTCTATTGTTCCAACAAAAAAGGCCATCTTGAACTTTCTTTCTGTTCTGTTGAGAGAAAGATTAAAGTGACTGGCAGGATTTTTTTGGGTGAGTCATGAAAAGACAACTTTAAAGCATAGTATTGGTATTATCATAATGTGGGACTGCTTCACCATCAGTCTGATGTGTTGAATTATTTTTGGGATCAATGTCCAGTTTAAACATGTGTTTTCAATCATGGACACGGTTGGATATAATTACATAAAGCTTAGATTAAACTTCAGCAATCTCTCCACCAACGTTAACCCTATTGAAAACGGGTAGACTACATCTAATCCCTGTGGTCGGAAAATTTTGATTTCTCTTATTTGATATATTCATTTATCCTATTTACTCACTATAAAAGTTTTCACTCAGTCTGTCTCACCTGCAAGGCCACACAATGCGTATGAATGTTTGTATTAAGTAGGGTTGTCACGATACTAAACTTTTCAGCTCGATACCGATACTAAGTAAAATATTCGATACTCGATACCCTTTTCGATACCACAAGAATGAAAACAAAGATTTTAAAATTCAACAGAAATATTTTCATAACTAAGAAAAATAGAAGAAATAAATAAAAAAAAACAATAAAAATAATATTTTGGGGTTGTATGCTGTGCAAAATATTAAGCAAGCTTGATAAAAAAACTTAAAATTAAAATTAAGTGTTCCTTCGTCTCCGTCTTGGTTTGTTAGTTCCTGTTTTTCTTGGTTTTCAATTTGTTGTCCTCTGCTGCCCCCTTGTGTCCTCTTTCCCTAGCTCTGTTTTCTGTTCTGCCCTCACCTGTTTTCAATTCCCTCGTTAGCCCTCTCTTTGTCTCTGTCTCCTTTAAAAGCCTCCCTCTTCAGTTCCTGTTTGCTGGATCCTCGTCTAACATCTGCCTGCCTTCCTCATGTCTCCCTGGCTCCTAGAGTTTTGGTTTACCCCTGATGTCTCCTTGGTTCTGGTGCGTTTGCTATTTTCTGTTGGATTTTGATTCCTGCCTCAGTACCTGTGAACCTTAATAAACCCACTTAAATTCACCTCTGCCTACTGGCCTCTGCATTTGGGTCCTCCAAACCAACACCGTTTCATGACATTGGCTATGTTTTGCAGACATAACAATGACACTAGCCAAACCGGTTAAACAAAAAAAATCTCTGCAGCTGAACCTCTTACAAAAAAAGTCTGAAACTGAAAAATGCACAGAATTATTCAATCACACAGTGTTCTGAAAGTTAATTTTCCACCGTTCTGCAATTTAGATGGCTGTATCTATACTTTTTAAAATGAGTATTGTATCCGGATACAACATTTCAGTATCGATACTTTTTTGAGTATCGATACTTTTGACAACCCTATTGGTAAGATAAGATTAACTTTATTGTCCCAAAGGAAATTTGGTAAAGTACAGGCATAGCTTCTTCCCAAAATCTTCCCAAAACAAGCCAGATTCTTTCTCAAGGCTTATTCATAACATGTTACTGTTTAACCAAATTTTTTTTAATTTAATAAATTTTTTTTGACTCTGACTACTTTCCATTGTTGTAAGTAAAGGGAACATACTCTGCACTGCATAAAAAAGAAATCTCAATAAGTCATTTTTTTCTTAAAATAAGTGCAAATTTTCTTGAATTGAGGAGGTAAGTGAGACACTTTGCCAATGGAACAAGACAATTAACATTTAAAATAAGAAAAAAACTATTTTATTGTCTTATTTCAAGTGAATATTATCTGATTTTCTTATTTGACGAGTAAAAATACTAATTCCATTGGCAAATAATCTAATTTAACTGCTCAAAATAAGGCTAAATACGCCTAATTTAAGAATTTTTTTACTTCTTTCTAGATCGTTTTTGCAGTGTGCCCAGACAGAACAGGGCTGAATACAGAAGGGCTGTACGATGAACTGTTCTCTCTTTGCAAAGATATGAAAATAAAGTGCAGACTGAGAGAAATCCATCGATCTCCGTTTATTAAACTGCGGTGAATAGTTGAATTCTTTTTTCCCACTACATCTCACAGGAAATCTATGGATGTGGTTGAGGTTATTCACAGTCAGTTAGTATAAGTAACCTGGACTTCCTCTCTTGTTTTTTGAAGATGTTTTGACGCTCATCCCTCCTTAATCATTCCGCTAATAGCCTTAATGACCTTATTAGTGTGTCTACTCTAATTAGAACTGATAATCCCCTCATTTTTAACCTACTCCAAGAATAAATGGAGCCTTTTAAATGAGAGGAAAACAATTTTATTATATACAACTTTCAGTTGACTTTACTTAAACCATTAGAAAAAAATAGACATTTCTCTAAGAACTGATGTCAGATATCCAACTTAAAATGTTATGTATTTGTATAATATTGAGGGGAACGTCTATATTTGAGTCTGTCAGTATAAAAAACAAAAACAAATACAGATTTTTTTTTTTACAGTTTAATCATTGCACCCTTGATACAGTTCAGAAGTTAAAAAAATCAGTAACTGTCCAAATACCTTCCTTGACTGCAATGTTTTGCACATTTAGTTTCCACTAAATGTGGTGCAATAGTGCACATTGTCATTCCAACCGCATCAACTGGTGCTCAGCATCATGTTGCCAAGACGACATGATCATAGCTTGGCAGCAAACTCCCTTCTCCGTTGTTAGGAAGAGGAGCACACAAACACGCTGTCCTCTGCAGGAGCATGCAGCCCTGCATTGTACACAGATAAATAAAGGAGCCCGCTGCGCCGCTGGTGAATGGGCCGTGTCATAAGATTGGCTTCTGAATCTAAATCTGGAGGGGTTCACGACTGCTGGTGCCAAAGGAGACTGACTTGATGACAGGTCAGGGAGCTCTGGAAGTCACAGAATCTCTGAATTCAGCAGCATACAGACACTCTGAAAAGTATTCAGGGCTTTACAAAGCTATTTACACATTTGATGATATAACAAACAAAGGTTTATAGTTTATATACATCATGTGTGATAGACCGCATCACAGAAAGTATAACCTTAAAATAGAAAAGAAATTAAATTTGGTTCTCAACAGTATTTTTCCCTCATATCTTAAGGTGAAATGTGTTTGTATTCAGCCCCTAATTGAATATTATTTCCCAGTAGTTACAGGTAGGCTTTAAAGGTATAGAAGATGATGTTTTATTTCCAGGTGGATCATCTAAATAAGTGGTCCTTCTAACTGTCAATCATTCTGATGATATGTTTACGTGGTTGACAGTGGTTGAAGCTCACCTTTCTCACCGCGGTTCGTTGAAAAAGGCAGAGGGTCGTAAGAGAAAAAAGTGTCTACGAAGTGTATGAGAAGAATACAAAGGCATCAGAAGAGGAAGATATATCCCAGAATGCTTTGCCTGGAAAGCTCTCCTCACAAAGCGTAAGCAAAGCGACTAATAACAAAGATGGCGCAGACATTGCGCAGCGGAGGAAAAGAACGCTTGTCCTCTGTTGCCCCCTTGTGTTTTCTTTTCCCTTGGCTTTCTCGTCAGCCCAACTCACACCTGCACCTTATCAGCTCGTTAGTCCTGCCCTTTGTTCAGTCTGCCATAAATACACTCACTGGCCACTTTATTAGGTACACCTATCCAACTGCTCGTTAACACTTAATTTCTAAGCAGCCAATCACATGGCGGCAACTCAGTGCATTAAGGCATGTAGACATGGTCAAGACAATCTCCTGCAGTTCAAACCGAGCATCAGTATGGGGAAGAAAGGTGATTTGAGTGACTTTGAACGTGGCATGATTGTTGGTGCCAGAAGGGCTGGTCTGAGTATTTCAGAAACTGCTGATCTACTGGGATTTTCACACACAACCATCTCTAGGGTTTACAGAGAATGGTCCAAAAAAGAAAAAACATCAAGTGAGCGGCAGTTCTGTGGGCGGAAATGCCTTGTTGATGCCAGAGGTCAGAGGAGAATGGCCAGACTGGTTGGAGCTGATAGAAGGGCAACAGTGACTCAAATAACCACCCGTTACAACCAAGGTGGGCAGAAGAGCATCTCTGAACGCACAGTACGTCGAACTTTGAGGCAGATGGGCTACAGCAGCAGAAGACCACACCGGGTGCCACTCCTTTCAGCTAAGAACAGGAAACTGAGGCTACAATTTGCACAAGCTCATCGAAATTTGACAATAGAAGATTGGAAAAACGTTGCCTGGTCTGATGAGTCACGATTTCTGCTGTGACATTCGGATGGTAGGGTCAGAATTTGGCGTCTACAACATGAAAGCATGGATCCATCCTGCCTTGTATCGACGGTTCAGGCTGGTGGTGGTGGTGTCATGGTGTGGGGAATATTTTCTTGTCACTCTTTGGGCCCCTTGGTACCAATTGAGCATCGTTGCAACGCCACAGCCTACCTGAGTA